TGTCATGGTTCGGACTTTTTTTATACTATAAGCAAAATGTCTGAAATTGACCTTATTGTCATAAATCATTGATAATGTTAAGTTTATGTGATACTTGTAGTAAAAATAACGGCCAAATTTATAACAAAACAATTTACGAAAAAACAATTAGGACAGACATGAACCAACGACAACTACCGAACTACAGGCTCCTGGCTTAGGACAGGCACATAACGAATGTGGCGGGGTTAAACATGTTTGAAGGCGCCAACCTTCAACCTAATCTGGGACAGTGGTGTAACAGTACAACATAAGAACAAACAATAAAAATCAGTTGAAAAGGGCTTAGCTCATCAAATCGATACAAATCAGAAAAACATCTAACAAAAACACAGACCGGACGTGACAGGGGATTTATACCTCCCTCACAACAAAAAAGACACAAAGTACATTATGTCAGTTATTTTGGCCTCGAGCCTCACTAAAGAGACATTAATTGTCGAAATGCGCATCTGGTGCATTAAAATTTGTACCGTTTATGCTATTTTCTCAGACACTAGATGATTCCAGCTTCCCAATTGTGAACTTTCCATACCGAATTAGACTTATTACCTGGTTTGTACTTACATGAGCAACATGACGGGTGCCACATGTTTAAGTTTCGTGATTTCTCATATACGATAACTATATTCAGTGTATATATATATAGAATGATTGTACAGTGTACGTGTCCGTCTGACAGGTGGCCTTGACCTCATTTCAATGGGTTATTGCTCGACGTTAAGGTAGTAATACCTTGGTCTTGATTGTTGGTGTTAAACGCCATTTTCAGAAAGCTTCAGGCTACATCATCGTAGTGAGTTTTTATTGATGGAGGAAGCCGGAGAGAACCACAGATCTTCGGCAGAAAAAGTGGCGATCCTTATCAATTAGATCGGAGTCGAACGCGCATTGCCACGTGCGGGATTTGAACTCACGACCTCCGTGTTGGCAGGTTAACGGTTAGATGGATGAACTACTTAGACCACTTTGCCAACGAGCTCCATTTTGATCTTGATTATACTAAAATACATTTCAAGCATAATTAGTGAAGCAGGCGAGACATATCATCATGGGAACGGCAATTCATTTTGGGGAGGTAGCGCTTTCTTTTAAATCAGTAATACATTTATAAGTCAGTTTCTTCAAAGCTTTTTATGGATTCTTGTGAAATAGAATTGAATTATTCTGTGTTATACTTATAAGCTGTGCAATCTTTTGTTTTGTTGCTGTTTTTTCCGTCGTTTTTGTCTCGCCTTGACGGAGTCAAAAAGCGAGACATATGTATGCTGTTTCCGGCGGCGGCGTCAACAATGTATTAGTTTGTGATTAGGTCTAGTTATGGTGAACCACTAGTGGTAGGTCAATGAATTTTGGTATGCAGTTGTATTAGCATTGGCACATCTCATTACCATGGAGATTATTTGGCCCTGCCCCCTCAGTTATGGTCTATTGACTTTGAAACTTTGCTTAGTTTACATGTATTAGTTTGTGATTAGGTCAGTTTATGGGGACCACTTGTGGTAAGTTAATGATATTTGGTATACAGTTGTATAAGCATTGGCATATCTCATTTCCATGGAGATTATTTGGCTCGGCCCCTCAGTCATGGTCTATTGACTTTGAAACTTTTGCTTAGTTTACATGTATTAGTTTGTGATTAGGTCAGTTCAAGGGGAACCATTAGTGATAGGCCAATGTTAATTGGTATGCAGCTGTATTAGCATTGGCACATTTCATTTCCATGGAGATTGTTTAGCCATTTACCTTCAGTCATGGTTCATTGACTTTGAATATTTGCATAACTTATATGTTAAAGTATTGCTATTTTAATTTCAGGATTTGCATTAATTTATCAAAATCACAAAAAGGCGAGACATATCTCTGTGTTTACAGTTTATTATTTTTGGCCATGGTGTTATAAAAATAAGAAGTTATGGTATAAGTGTCGATGAGACAAAACTCTGCCCGAGACAAAATGACTAAGAAGTTAACAACTATAGGTCATTGTACGGCCTTGTGATTTTTTATCTTGGAAACTTTTCTTTCTAGAATATAATTATGAAAACGGTTGACAAACGTGTCAGTTATTGTTAAGAATCATGTCCCATTACCTAGGTGTTATTTGGTCTATTTCACTTCAAATTCTGTTGTCACATTATCTACATGATTTAAGTGTTATCAAACAAAACTCTTCTTATTCTTTTAGAAGATCCAAAAAGGGGTAAAAACAAGCAATTTTTACTCTGTCTTTCTGACTAATCTCAATAGGGTTTAAATAATCTTGAAATGTTTTTTGTTTTAATATTTTGGATTTTGGGCCCATTTTTCAAATTGGTTCACATCAGAGTCCAAAATTAAACTTTGTTTGATTTCAACAAAAATTGATTGGTAGGGTTTTTTTTCTATGCTGAATTGCTTATATTTGATCAATTTCATTTGTTTGTGTTTTTTTTACATTAAGAGTTACCTCCTTTACAATGATTTAATTTAATAACAGTTTTCCTACAAATTACAGCTTAAACTAAATTCCTATATGGAGCATTTTAAAAACTTAGCTAAAATTGTTCATTAATAAATAAATAAATTAAATTCTTGGTGTACTTGTAGATTCAGCATATCAAAGAACCCGAAGAGTTCAATTTTTGATGAAACAAAGTTGAATTTTTGACCCTTTGGAACTCAATGTGGACCAATTTCATAACATGACCAAAAACCCTCGGTTAGATTCAGCATATCAAAGAGCCTCATATATTCAATTTTTGTTGAAATCTAACAAAAAAAGTTTGATTTTGGACCCCAATTTAGACCAACTTGAAAACTGGGCCCAAAATCAAAAATACATGATTAGAGTCAGCATATAAAAGAACCTCAAGAATTCGATTTTTGTTAAAATCAAACTTACTTTAATTTTGGACCTAGTGGACCTTAATATGGACCAATTTGAAAATTATAATACTTATAAAGTACCAATTGCTGTTTTGATATATTTTATCATTTGTGACTTCTCTATCTGTCAACAGAAATTACAAGTTTTTGTTTTAAATGAACCACCATCTTCGCCTCCACATTCTTAACTGCTAAATATGTACAGAACTTTAAAAGCCTAAGATATATTATATAGAGAAATTTAAAATCTTCTGACGGTATCACTACCATCTTCAAAATATATCGACAAAAAGATCTTTTAACATAATGTTTGTCTTAATATTTTAAATTCCTGACTTGAATATTAGGTTGTCGAAGCCTGCCCTCTATAATTCCTAGGCCTACATTTAGCTGAAATCCAAATTTCACCCAAATCTCTACTAACTGCCAATATAGATTGTAAATTTTAAAGCTTTATAAGAAAAGCTGTACAAAAATAGTTCTGTTTTGCTTTCTTTCCGGTTTTTTTGTCAACTTGAAACATTTTTTATCATTTAATATTCATGGCCAAATAAGGACCATACCAAACTTAATCCTTTCCACATGAACATGAAGACTGTTTTGTTCTAGTCTGAAATGCTCAGCTGCATATTTAACATGCTTGCTTACAAGGTCAGTCTGTAAGATGACATCTATTATTTGAATTCTTGAGCGACATGTCCTAACTCCTTAACATTCAGTACCAATTATCAAATCTTAAGATTTGACCAGACCTGGGATTAAAACAATGACCTCTTGCACTTGAGGTTAGCTGGTTTTCACAAGCAACCATGTTGGTTCCAATAAAAAGTGATGTGGGGTATACAAGGAGCCAGCAACCCAACCTCTCATTCACAGATCAACTCACAGGCTGAAAACTACAAACCTAAGATCCCTCATAACATGGGTTATAGACATGAAATTTAAAGACTCTTACACTGGTAAAATTCTCAATTTCCCATTACAAAAGGTACACTTTAGTTTAAGAATTCTATTTGCTATGAGCATTTATAACAACTGCGTCAAACAAGTAAACTTGTCATTCATTGATAAACAATATTCTACTTTTGCTTACAAGCACTACATGTACTAAAACTTGATTTGACAACATAAAATATGAGTAAAATTGTGCATTCACTCATTTATATGATTGTATTAAACATGTCCTCTTGTAATATCAGATTGTATTAAACATTAACCCTTTTGTAAAATCAGATTGTAATAACTAAACATGTCCCCTCTTGTGAAATCACATTGTATTAAACATGACCCCTTTTTTAAAATCAGATAGTATTAAACATGTCCTCTCTTGTAAAATCAGCCTGACAGTCATAGATGTGCACCCCTTACATTTTGTTTTGTCTTTCTCTTTTTTATCTGCCTTTTTTGCAGGGATGAAATCTGGGGAAAATTCATCCATAAGCTGAATCAACTTCCTCTTGCCTTTGAAAGTATGTCTAATGAATGTTATTACTACTGGTCCAAACCTTACATTTCACACTAAATAGAAGTCTAGTTATTTATTTTTTTTAATTAAAATTGTTTTCGGCCTTAATTCCAAATCATTTCCGGTCATAAGTGAAACATGTGACTTGAGTGATTACTAGACCTGCTCTTACCTCTGGAGGTAAAAAGTAAACACCATCCAGTTTGACTACTGTAACAAATTCATTTACAACAATTCACTAACAGCAACTTTTTTAAATGCTTCACTGAATAATTCAATGTTTGGTTACCATGTCTGTCTTGCTTTATATATTAACATAGGAATCTAGAGTAGGGGTCAGTCGAAATCTTTCTGGCAGAAGAATGGACTTTGATAAATGTCAATGTTTATTTAGCAATATTTAACCTGTTGTGTGTATATATATCTCAGTTTGTACAATATTCCAAGACTATTTCCTTTCAAGATTTTCCTGACATTGGGATTTATGAAAGCTACTGATCCATTGGTTTTAACGAAGTTGAAATTAAACATGGTTAGAAATAGGGGAAGGGAAATACATGTAATAAGCAGTTTGTGAGATATTGAGTATTGGGTCCATAGAAACCTAATGCTCTTAAATTAATGAAAATTATTAAGCATGAAAACAGTTTTATTCAGTAGAAAAAATACATGTAAAAACATTACAATCAGTATATCAAAGAATAGTCAAGAAGAATAAATAAACACACATGTAGATATGAGTAGTACGCTTTCTCACAAGTTATTATAATGTTGAGGGAAGTATCTAAATATCTACCTATTTCATTCATTTCTAAGCTTAACTTCATTCATTTATCATCGGGCTGAACTAAGATTTCATTGAATGACTAGGTAAATAAATAGAAACAATTTAAAATCTTCTGAAAAATCAATGTTTTATACATTATAATTAAAAGCCACATCAGTTAGGGGACGATCATTTAACTTCAAGGGGGGTTATGGTTTTTTCCTAAAAAAATATTCTGATCCCCAATTTGATGAAAAAAAATATTGTGGTCAAGCAGACGACAAAAAAGAAATATTCTGAAACCAGATTTTACCCATGCCTTATAGTGTTAAATTTTGAAAAAAGTAATTTGATTGATTTGTCTGACTCAGACAAAAAAACCATAACACCCCCCCCCCCCACCCAAAGATACAAAATTAAAATGTCTTTACTAAATTATTTAAACTATTATTGAACGTGTCATTTTATTTTGAAAATAACTTGCATTGAAGCAAAAGATACGAATATGAAAATATATATCTAATTTATTTCTACCCTTGCAGTCACTTTTGGAAAGGCATAAATGAGAAAAACCTTGTCAAGAGTAATCATACATGCATGGTTGTAACAACAAAAAATGAAACTTTTCTAGCTCTATCAACATCCCTTTATGTGGCTACACAAGTAATATTGGTAATTCATATCATACTGACTTACATAGGATTAAAATACATAAATACATCAGCGTTTTTTTCTAATCTTTTTACTATATTTTACAAATTTTTATATTATTTGTTTCTTTTATGTTGCACTTTTTTTTAAATTTTTTTTTAAATATAAAATATCTGTTATATCTTTATAACATCTATTTGTACTTGTCTAGTATATGGTTTTAAGTGGTTTTTTGTAGCCATAAACACTGGCTTCAACTTTTCGAAATATCCAAAAATTTACAAATCAACAAAATTAGATGAACAAAATCTTTAATTTTCTTTTAAAGACATTTCTTACTAAGAAATTTTTCTCTTAAACTTGAGTTTAAAAATTATCCGAAACTTTACATCTGATTTGCTGTATGATACTAAGCCAGTGTTTATGTTGGTTTTTGATGAACAAGATTCAAGAGGGTCTAGAAAATGATATGCGTCTGTGAAGGTTTCAGAATTTGACCGACAAGATTCGGTACCTTTTTATTACATTTAAGTTTCCATCACAAGGGCTAGACGAGTTTGTCCCACATATTTATTTGATAAGAACATCAAGTATATAGGACAAACTCGTCTGGATCTTGTGACTTATTTTGCGTAAACATTCAAATGTTGAATGAAGACATGTTGGCTACATCACAGATTTTATTATAATTAATTGTATGAAGTATTTTTAATTACTATGAATAAATTTAAGACGAAAAACGATCTAGGACTGATTTTTTTTCATGGAACATCAGATTACTATAAATACTTGCACATATATATAATGCCAACTTTAAAATACTTTATAATAACTTTAGGAAACTTTTTCTTCAGTTGCATTTTACATGAATATCATGTAGTCATCATTGACAAAGACGTTCTAACCTTTGATAGTTTATGAATAGATCTAAGAAGCAAAGCAGTGTTTGGTTACCTTCTAGTAGGGACATGAAGGAGGATCTCACAGAAAAACTGCATTTCTATACATTTTGGAATGCTAATAATTTACACCTCATGCTTCCCTAATGTCTGTTTCGTTATAAATTTGGATAAATTTCCATTCCATGTGTTATACTTCCGAAGATAACATTTTAAGTTTTAGGTAACCCTTTTCCACTTTAAGTTACATTTTGCTATAAAAATTTCATCAGTTTCATGCATATTCCATTAGTTAATAAAACTGATCAAAAGGTTAAAAATCACTCCCTGAAGTAAGCAAAGTTATTTCAGTTTACAGTATGCTTCTCACAGCTTACGTGCACATCTATTTAATTTAAATAATACCAATTTTAGTACAGGGTTTATTCCGCGATTTGTTATTACTGTTTTATTACTGTGTTTAGAACGGTAATGTAGTTACTGCTCTGTATTCGATAAAATTAAAAGACCGACTTCAGTTCAAAATTTATCAACTGTTTCTGTATGGCATTCCGTTCCTTGTGCCTAATTAGAATTTTTTTTTTATTACTGCTCAAAATAAAAATATACATGTAGATTTGAAGCAACTAAAATTGAACACATTTCATTCATCTTGTACGTGCCTTCAACTTGTTTTACTGCAACAGCCTTATACCTTTCAGATTTTTGAAATTTATTATTTGATCAGTTTGGCAAAATAATGCAGTATGCAACTTGCTAGTTTTTTATGGTTAAAGGCAACTTGTAGACGGAAATGGGTTTGGTTCTCCAACATAAAAATATCTGCTTTTGTTTTAACCTGTGTTATCCTCCATGAAAACAATGAACATGAAAAGCTTAGAGAATTGTGCAGCATGCAAAGCCCACTCCGTTGTCATCGCCACAGCAAATAAGCGGTCTTAATTCTTCATCCTCTTCTGTTTTCCTTTTAAACCAAGATTTGGGTTGCTTTGTGTAGACCTCTTCTTCTTCCTGTTAATTTCAATATAATTTAAAGGGATTGGCTTATTATACACAATAAAAAATATAACATTAAAGGGGCATTAGCTACGAGATTTACAAAAAAAATAAAATGATTTTTTTTGTTAATGAGTAATAAAAGTGAAATAAGGAAATAATAATTCGCTTTTAGCAGCCAATTTGGTTCAAATTTGTCAAAATAAGCTAAGAATAGCAGGAGTTCTTTTGCGCCAATTACAGTTTTTCAGGGGTATCGTTTGCGCCAATTTTTTTTTTCTTCAAATGTATCAATTGCGCAAATATTCGGAACTCATTTGCAAGTGAATAATTCGACCTCATTGAATCCGTATGCATGTGACCTTTAATTTAACCCCTTAGCTGGACATGGGTAACGCATGTATTCAGCTACTAGTATTAAAAGGAAAATAATGTCAACATTGAAAGTGAAACAAGGATGAAACATTTGGTTGACTGATTCATTCGATCCACACAAAATCATTCTTATACGGGTAAAACGATGATTAACATATTTTTAACCTACAATATGAAATCGAACAGACTAAGAAAAATCCAATTGCACGTGGTCAATATCTGTTTATATTTATATTTATGTTTATATCGGATTATATGACCGTCGCAGTCTTCGGAGGTCATCTCGAACAATACACACAAAATGTTGATACATTTTGTAATTTGGATATACGTTTTAGTATGTTATAAATCAAATATGAGAATTTGAGTCAAATCGGTGAACATGAATTTGACAGCTAATGCCCCTTTAAATGGATCGGACATCATGGACATGTTGGTTATTGTCATATGATAGTAGATACAGTGGAAATGCCTTGATACTTGCAAACCATGTGTTTCCTATCAGTAATAAATTGGAATAAATTTGTGCTCTGATCAAAATTTCAAAATTAATAATTATTTTACAGAGTATATTTGAAGGTTTTGGAATGAAGCTTTTAAAGATGAGTGATTTGGAAGTTTACAAGAAAACTCGAATCAAACAAAAATCAGTGGGATATATGTTTGTCAATTATGCAATATTGATATTGTGATAAGATTGCAAACTTCAATTTTTTTTTATTTTATCTAACCATTTTTGGACTGAAACTATTTTTTTTTCTTATTTTAAGAGCACGCGTTTGTCCTGGAGTCCTGGAGTGGTTCAAACTGCCATTGCTTAGCAAATAGATAGATACTATATGCTGTATTTTCGTCCAGCCATGTCGTGACGTATCTGTTAACAAATGTACTACAGTCCTCTGTACGTAGGTCTTAAATGGAGACATAGAGACTCTTGCGACATCGGTTCACATTTGAGTCTATAATGTGCAGTTCCACATTTAAATTTTTTGGTATTTTCATTTTTTTTTATCAAATTTACATATGTATGGTCTTGCTTGGTTAAAACACTTGAATTTGCTTACTGCAAATTCTTTTCTTCCTGTTAATAATTTAGTTTTAATTATTACATAAATTTTTAATTTCACACTCTTCAAACTGTTTGTAAAAAACTGTTTCAGTAGGTAAACTTTCATCATATTACAAAACTGCTCAAACCAAGTATTTCGCTATCAAATGCTAAATTTGTAATGCATGTTGTTATTATTATTATTTTATGTTGTGTATCGGTCTTATATATTCGGTCAAAAAGAATAAGGAGCTTGTCTTGCATTGTGTACTAATGACCAACCCAACAAAAAATAAACCCAAATGGTTGACAGCTGGGGTATAGAAATACGATCATCTAAACTTCTCCCGTCCGGCAGTAAAACGCTTGCTTAAATAGGGCGTTTGTTTGACTGTGCTGGATGTATAAATACACAGCCAAGTCTAGCTAGAATAGAGACGTTAAACTCCGATGCTTTGAGTTGGATGAGCGTTACGCTCTCTTCAAGTTAATAAAAGGTCTGCCTAACTTGCAAGTCTACTTTTAGTATTAATGTTTGTTCTCGCTCTGAATATGCATGAAATATTTTCCACTAGATATCAAGCAAGCAACAGTAAATAAATCTCATCTTTTTCTTATCTTACATAAATATCAATAACAGATACCTCTTCGTCATAGTCAAAGTTGGCAATAATCCTTGGTTTCTCGAGTATTATGTCCGGAACATTCATTTTGTCAGGCCAACCATCTCTCTCTAAGTCACCCTTTTTATTTGGATCTACTCTGATGTCTGTTGCCTCCTTGTCAGTTAGTTCTGTATGATCCTCATTTAACTCAGTATAGTCTGCTTCGGTCTCCTTAGAAACTATGACAACATTCTTGTCATTCAAATTATTTTCCTGATGTGTTATATCATCTTCATCAGAAACGAAACTTTCATTAAAACCCTCCTCTTTTTCATCGACAAATACGTCATCTTCTTCCATGTTGTTTTCTGGTATCTCAACATTAGATTCGCAATCAAGATCTTGATGGCTGTCATAGTCGTCGTTTGGTTGAATTTCGTCTTCGCTGCTGTCTGATGTTGTTCTTATTCTATGTTCTTCTTCAGAATTATATCCTGTATCACAACTACTGTGTCTTTCTTCATCATTTTTAATCTCTGCAAGTTTCATTTCTTCTTGAAGACTAGTTTCGATATAACTTAATTTAGGCATATTACTTGTTTCCTCATCATTGTCATTGTATGCCTATAAAAAATAAAAACGAACACTTTATACATTTCATGCGTCTGAAGCGCTTTTCTGGATTTACCTTCAGAAGAACGCCCAAAGCCGAATACTTGAAAGCCAAGGATGTATAAGAACCGAAACATTTGAAGAGCTAAATGGCCAAAAAGTAACTAAAAATAAAAGCTAAATCTAAGGGTCAACTAAGCCTGAGGAAGTTGAAACCTTAGTTTCTTAATAATTTCAAAATTTATAAACGAATAGTTAAGAAAAGTTTGTTATAGAATGTATACATTAATATACTACATACTGGAAATGTGTTAAGGCCACAGTTACGGATGATAGCGAGATATAGCAGCATTGTTTTAATTGAAAATGAAGATTACTGCAACATTACCACCCAATTTCTACACGAAATTCAAATTCCTTCTCTTTCATGCACATATCGAGTTACATGTATACTAAAAATCTAGGTAAATATTTTCGCACAAAAAAGATAAAATCAACTAATATCAAATTTTGAAGAAAAAAAGAGTCAACGAGATATGAAAAAACAAATATTTGATTTTTGTAAAAGATAATTTAAACCGTTTTGCATTACAAATATTCACGAAATAAGATAAAATGGCTCGCTCATGAAATTCTCGTGAAAAGTATTTTGTTTATTTATTTCACATGCATGGAATTTGCAGATATTAATTGAAATGATGAAAAATCCTCAAAGTTACCAAACTGATAATTTGTTGCGTTTTTTGTGTACATAAGACCAATAAGTGATTCCAGAATCAAAACAGTTGGAAGGCTAAATCAATAACGAAGTTGAAGAGCATTAAAATCCCTAAGTTACAAAATAATAAATATAGATATGGCGATCTTTACGGAAGGGTAGAATAACCTTAGTTTTTGGAGTGATCTTTAACTTTGAGGAGCTGTAAATTTACAGAAAATGATCATACCAATGGTATTTCATGCCATCACAAAAATGCTAACTATACAGTGCTGGTGAAACCTTCGGTGTCGAAACGTTCACTAGCAGTGGCCTCGATCGAGAAGTTGTAAAAGCTTCTCAACGGTACCAGTCTTATAATTTAGTACCCAAGACGCGTATTTAGTCATCATGAGACTCATTGATTAATATTGTTTTACACTTCAAAGACTAGTTGTTTACTAGTTTAATGACAAGGTTTCTACATGTGAACCAACACAAAGATAATAATTCTTACGATTTCTTCATCGTCTTCATTGTTATCTGCCTCAGCTTGGTTAACACTGATAGCATCTATGGACGCCTCATCTTCATCATAGTTTATACCGATAGAATCAGCGTTAGTCCCGTAGAACAACTCGTCGACCATACTTGGAGACAAGGAGATATCATCATCGGCAACAAGAGCGACGTACTTGCCTTTATTTCCTGAAATTAATTGAAATCGAACCATGGTTACACTAACCTTTTTCTCGCAACATTGGATATTAATTACACTCAATACTTAGCATGCAGAAAATGGTCTACTTCACGTATTTATATTCTACTGACTAGCAAGCTCGATTGCTATCATTAAGTAACTCAATATAATTTTTTTCTCATAAATCATAATTTAATAAATCATACTTGGTGTGTTAACGATTAGTGCATCTTCGCTAGCCAAGGGTCACGATGGAGAGGAGGGGACTGGATCGTAACCCTTGGCTAGCGAGGATGCGAATAACGATGGAATGGAAGTATATACTGTATTTCTCATGAGGGTTAGTTTGTTATCGTTTAAATTTACAATTTAAAAACTATTTCAACACATACATTTTTATATTTCATCATTTTTTTACTTAGCTTTGGGACTTAAAAACATACTATAAAATTAGACATGGACGAAGGCGTTTTTGCAGTGAACAAAATGAAATCAAGATATTGATTAAACATGCATGCACATCTTACCCGAAAATTATATTTTTGCTTCTTGATGTTTCTGTATTTCCTCTATTGAGTTACAGTCAGTAAGAAACGAATTACTGGGTACTATGAATGTAATAAAATTTTGAACATTAATTTTACCATTGTATGTTTTGGCCTTTAGTACTGGTGTTTCTTTTCCTTCATACTTCTTCGATTTCTTTTTGTCTTTTGCTGTAAAAGTGAATATCATGTATAAGGAGAGAGAGATAATGCGTTTTAGATGACATCTGCACATGTTTATAGATGACTGTTTTGTCAATTAAGTTAACATTTTTTGATAAAACACAAAAGTTTGCATTATTGAGAGGTTTAGCTAGCTATAAAACCATGTTTAATCCACTATTTTCTACATAAAGAAATGCCTGTACCAAGTCAAGAAGGAATATGACAGTTGTTTTCCATTCGGTTGATGTGTTTGAGCTTTTGATTTTGCCATTTGATAAAGTACTTTTATGGCAAGCCGTTTTACTATTTATTCGAACTTCAAGATACCTCAAATAATATATAAGATATCTTATATAATCTAGTTTTATAAGATATCTTATAAACTTTATAAGATATCTCATATACTTTATAAGATATCTTATATACTTTATAGGATATATTATATACTTTATCAGATATCTTTTAAAGTTTATAAGATATCTTATAAAGTATATAAGATACCTCATAAAGTATACAAGATATCTTATAAAGAAAATTATAGAAGATATCTTATAAATTATATGAGATATCTTATAAACTAGGGTGAAGGTTGGCGCCCGTTAAAACGTTTAAACCCGCTGCATTTGTTTGCACCTGTCCTAAGTCAGGAACCTGTTGTTCAGTGGTTGTCGTTTGTTGATGTGGTTCGTAACTCATTGGCGTATATAGATTTTTTTTGTCAAATGAAGCCTGATCAATGTGATTATAAAGCATTAAGGAAGGAGGCTAGAATGAATTTCAAATTTTCAATATCCAAGGGGTAAATCAAGACCCCCCAACAGGTCAAGACCACACATAAGTTTCTCGTTTTTTATATAGATTAGAACGCTGGTTTTCCTGGTTGAATTGTTTTACACTAGTCATTTTGGGGCCCTTTATAGCTTGCTGTCCGGTGTGAACCAAGGCTCCGTCTTGAAGGCCGTACTTTGACCTATAATTGTTTACTTTTACACATTGTGACTTGGATGGAGAGTTGTCTCATTGGCACTCATACCACATCTTCTTACTTCTATATAAGATATCTTATAAACTACATAAGATATCTTATAAACTATATGAGATATCTTATATAATATATAAGATATCTTATATAATCTAGTTTTTAAAAGATATTCTTATATATTATATGAGATATCTCATATATTATATAAGATATCTCATATAGTTCATAAGATATCTTATATACTTTATAAGATATCTTATATAAATATTTTTTATATAAGATATCTAATATACTTTATAAGATATCTTATAAAGAAAATTATATGAGATAGCTTATAAACTATATAATATATCTTATAATATATATTAGATATCTGATATTCTATATGAGATATCTTATAAAGTTTATGAGATATCTTGAAATTAGAATAAATAGTAAAACGGCTTGCTTTAGACTTTCCGTTTGAATTTTTCTTGAAGTTCGGTATTTTTGTTATTTTATATTTTACTGATAAAATATTAAAACCCTCTAAAATAGAAATTATTCATTCGTTATCTCCCACTTGCAAATGTTAAAAAAGAAAAATCCTGTTATTTAGAGTAATGAGTAATTTCAATTATCCCACAAGGAACTCCATAACTTAAAAAAGTCCTTGTGACAAAATAAATGCCATAACAACATAAAAAGAAACAAAAAGTATAAAAACAAAAGCCAATAGTTCTCAACCATATGAAAGTTTGAACAATCTTTTCTTAGATGGTATACATGCCAAGACTTCAATTTCTACAGGTTAAAACAGATTTAAAAGGCTGCAAGGGATTTGGTGGTATGCCCTACTTTCTCACTTCCAGTGATTGACAGACAAGGGCAAACATTACTGAAATTTATTTGCATTATCTTCATTTCTGTATTTTCCTATTTTCATTATTATTGCGTATACCATGTATACATTATTCATTCTAGTAATACTGATCAATTGAAGGCGTTTATACTTATCACAATCCACAAACAAATGCCAAATAATTCATTCTGGCAGTTCATCAAAGAGGGTGCGTATTTCTGCATTTTTCACAGAAGATCGACTCGTTGTTACACAAGCGCACATGTATTCTCTCGTAGTTACAGCTTAATCCAATTGATTATTAATCATTCATTTAAAGAAGGAAACTGCCAAAAACCTAGATATTGGTGATTAGTTTATGCATAAATATTACATAAGTAAGAGTTATTTAAAATGTTGTTGCCAATAATAAAGCTAAAAAAGAGATCGAGCTTTTATACACTGGTAATAAAGTTAGAGTTGCATTTTGTAAAGATTAAACATCTTATAAATATTTGCCATTCTAAAATTCCGTTCGATGAGTCTATACTATGTTGATTTTGTGCCAATAACCTGTGAACATAGTTGACTAATCAAACTGAATGTATCAAAATCATCATATTAAAATTCCGAGATTCTACATAGAACAAATTTAAAAAATGAGTAGGCTAGCTCTTGCAAATGGAATAAACATTGCTAGAGTATGAACGTCCATTTCGCTGAACTAGTATACATTATTGTTTAGGGACCAGCTGAACCTCCGGGTGCGGGATTTTATCGCTGTGTTGAAGACCTATTTGTGGTCTTGCGCTGTTTTCTGCTCTTTGTTCGGGTTGTTGTCTCTTTAACACATTCCCCGTTTCCATTCTCAATTCTATTCCTTGTTTTAATTCTTAGATATAAGACCCTTTCGTTTCATACATTTGGCTTTCCGAACTTTTGTCACGAGTGCACCTGATGAAAGTTATTCAAGAAGCACGTGCTGTTCGAAAGGAATCAAAGCCTTTTGTTTTTAAATGAGCACGTGAAAACAAACTTTTTAGAAAGAATATGTCAATAAACTGTACATTGTTGGATTTTTTTCTCTATTTTTTTAAGTTACTGTAGTAAGGTTTATACACATTGTCATGTTTGTCCTAAACTCACCATGTTTTCTTCTTTTCCGGTTCCGTCTTCTGCCACCAACAAACAGTACATCTGTTTTTTCCAGCTGGAAAGCTTTGTTTAAAGCATTTTGTATTTTGACTCGGAGTGGGCTGTGCATACTACAGTCTCTAATAGGGTGTGAGGACAAGTTATTGGGATAGCTGCATGGTGTCGCGCTATAACCTAAATGGAAAATACATTGTCAAGGTGGACATAAATGATAGTGTGCGAGGACAAGTTATTGGGGTAGCTATAACCTAAAATATATATAGAAAATACATGGTTTTTCGTTGACGATATTTCTTTTTCTTCTGAAAACATATTATCGTAAATCATTAAATATAGTAATATTGATATGATTATAACTTTATAACAAAGCATTATCAATTCTTTAAATAACTTTAAAATGTTATCTCCTACTGATAACATTTCCATCTTACTTTTACAATTTTGTTTTACTCATGAATATATCAAAAATGTTAAACATCTTTCATTTTAAAAATTTCACAATTTTACATATCGTGTAAAAGCACGTTACAGTATAAGTCTATAATAAACTGACCTGCTGTACAAGTGTTAAACTCCTTAAAAATTATTTTCTAAAAAGCAAAGGAACCAGTCCCCCGATAGCTGTTGGAAAACTGCACGTGTTTAACACATGAATCAGTATTTGTAGTACGTATGTGTATAGCAGCAATGTGCACACATACAACAGATGTCTTTATGACCGCACACAGAAGGTGTAATTAACAGAACATTATAACATAAGCAACTGGTAATGGTCTGGACAGTTCTTATGTGATATAATGTTATTATCATAATATTACTGTTACCGGAGGAATAATATTCATCATTATTATATTTATTTTATTTCGACAGACGAAATTTGGAGATTGACGAAAAAGTGAAGGTAAAAATGTAAAGCTGAATAACTGCCCCGACTCCTACATCGAAAATAGTGTTGTAAATACTGAAGATATAAAATAATGTTAATTTGAATAATCGATATGTTTGGAATCATTATACGGTTTGCTTCCTAGAATTTAAAAAAAATCTAATAATTTATTTATTTCTGTAAAATTTCGACTTGAATACACAAAAGTAATGTAATATACAACTATCCTCAAATCATTTGGCATTTTCCCTTCAACAATTGTGGTTCTAAACCTACTTACCTAAGACTGGGTAACAGTACTTTTGAACAAGGCCATAAAATTTTGTTTTATATCTGTCACGAAATAATCCAGACAGACGAAGTTCATTCATGTTTCTTCATCAAATCTCGCGATATATATCAATCTCGGCGCAAGTTTTTTGAAGACACGTAGATACTTCTCATGCCGTCATTAATTATATGTATATTTCTAGCATTTATTTTAATGTACATGTATACAAATGTCAAACATACATAATAACATTCATTAGAGCGCTCACAGCAATAGTAGTAAAGCCAATATGAATGAAAGGAGATGCGGGGTAAACATCTACGAGATAGCAACCCAACGGTTCGATAACAGACCATAAGGCATGCTGAGGTTTATATATGTAGTGTAAACAATAGAGTGTCGTCAACACATTTCAAAAAAAAAATAATCTTAAATAGATTTAACAGAGTATATCAAAGATCTGCCATCAGCACCAAATTATTAAAAGGTCAAAACATTAAGATATTACTAAAGAGAGCCATTGACAAAGTTCCTGAATTAGAACAGGCACATGAACACGTGGCTTTGTTAAAGCAGTATAATTTAGGGAATATTAATTATATGGCTATGGTCAGTATCATACCGGTATCAAACCGAGCAACAAATCCCGAGAGCTCTGATCGAGGGATTGTATTGGTTGAGGGTTGATACGGTATATGATAATGAAAACGCCGTATCATATATACACGGAGAACATTATATGGCTTTTTCAATATCACATCGGTATCAACACGAGACACCAATAGAGCTCTCGGGATTATATAGATTGAGGTTGATGTACGGTGTGTGAAATTAAAAAAAAAGGAATATCATATAAACGTTATAATTTAACCATTAAATGACGTAGATAAGAATTAATATAGAATAGTGGTTTGATAAAAACACTTTTTGTCTTCCCTTATGAAACAAGTTATTTAATGTTTTTTTCAAGTCGCCACAAAACATGCTTGGCCCGTCGGTGCTTCCATTAGACGGGTATTTATGATTAGAGGTAGGGCAAATTTTCTTTGAATTCTAATATCCGTTTTCAATATTCTGTAGGATGATGACGTTTTTTAACCGACTCCATTTTCCTTTAATAGATTGAGTAACTGTTGTTTGATAAGCATCCATATACTTCATGCATGTTCATGTCGAGAACAAATTAAACAATTCATCTCACAAATGGATAAGAAGCAAATGTGGTCGACCGGGGTTGAGACTTAAAATTTGGATTGCTGCTGGAAATAGCTAGTGTTGGAAAGAGGCTGAAATATGTCCTTTCAACAGGCCACCTAGGAACTCACAAGAGAGTTGTTGCAAGGGTTCAATTACTTACAGAGAGCGTTGCACTCATTCAATACGGAGTATCTGAATTTGTATATTTTTTAAATGATGTTAAAGAGATGATTGCACGCAAGTTTTTTTCGTCTGTCGAAATTGACATTATAACAACATAAAACCACTGCTGCTTCCACGTCATCGATTATATCTTCAAGGAAATTAACCAGATTAAAATTCATTTGACATTTTTCACAAAACACAACTTCAAGTCCTCCTTTTCTTTTGGTGTTGTTAGTGTTGCTCAATAGATTGTTTGATTGTTTTGTTTTGTGTTTTGTAGACATCTGTTTGTCTCTTTATCGTTTTCCTTTTGGTCATAGTGTTTTTTCTACTTATAGTTTTTGATTGCATCCTTCTTATCTACCCCCTTTTTTATATATTTTTGTTAATGAATTGTCTATCATATTTTTTATTCATTATCGGTTGCAAAATATTTATTGGCAAATTTTAATAATTTTAGAACTCCGTGATGGACTCTGCGACGAATTGTTTTATGATTAGTACATTTTGATAAGGATAAACGAAAACACAAAATGAGGTGAGGATGCGAAATTCATTTCTAGAATGATTCATAAAATATAAATTATAAAAATAAGAAGATGTGGTATGATTGCCAATGAGACAACTCTCCACAAGAGACCAAATGACACAGAAATTAACAACTATAGGTCACCGTACGGCCTTCAACAATGAGCAAAGCTCATACCGCATAGACAACTATGAAAGGCCCCGAAATGACCAATGTAAAAATATTCAAACGAGAAAACTAACGGTCTGATTTATGAACAAAATAATGAACGAAAAACAAATATGATATACAGCAACAAACGACAACCACTGAATTACAGGCTCCTGACTTGGGGCAGGCACATACAGAATATGGCGGGGTTCAACATGTGAGCGGGAACCCAACCCTCCCCCTAACCTGGGACAGTGGTGTAACAGTACAACATATGAACAAACTATAAAAATCAGTTGAAAAGGGCTTAACTCATTATATAGATACAAAGCAAAAACAAGTGACAAAAACACAGAGTGGACATGGCAGGGTACTCATACATCCCCAAAACAAAAAGTACAGATCTGAGAGTACTCGCAGTTACTGACAACTAGTTCAAAGCCAATAACAACTTATAAAAAAAATCATGCATCTAAGACTAAAATATCAATCATCCAACATCCAATGGATTTAGTGTGAAAATGGCATAAACAGTCAGAGAAAAACACGACCTTGTGCAATGCCAAGATACAGGTATCGACAGAATGTAGAGCCATGAATATGCATATGTATATAAAAATGATATTTAGTTTGATTTTAATTTACTGATAACAAAATAAATAGTAATACCAATAAAAACAATATTCAAAGATCTAATTACAGTGTTGAATTGGTAACGTTTTAGAATACGTTTGTTTAAAGGATCGATAAGTTTACCCGGATCGTTTCTAAGTTTCCGGGCTCGGTAAACAACATCTCCGTAAAAATTAGGATGTGCTATCCCGTTTGAAATAAGTTTTCTATAGGTACAACCAAATTTCAAAACCAAATCTTTATTATATATGGAAGAATTTAGTAAAGGTTTTAAGTAATTTGTGGTAACGAAATCCCTGACTTAATAATTTACCAGTGATACATAGATTAAGTTCATTGAAATCCAAAACGTCACAACAGACACGGGCATAGCGAACGAGTTGTGATATATAAACACCGTAAGATGGTACCAAAGGAACATCACCGTCCAAAAAAGGAAAATCAACAATAGGGACGAAAAATCGTCCCTTTTGTCGTAAATTTTAATATAGAGTTTCCCGTGTGAAACTGAAATATCTAAATCTAGGAAAGGACAGTTATTACCAATTATATTTGATATGTTTAAAGTATGTTCCTTTGGGTAAATTTCGCCTCGGCAGTATATTTAGAACATTCTTGATTAATTAACGAAAAAATATCATCAAGATAACGGTAAGTGTTGTTGAATTTATCCATTAAGCTGTGATTCATAACAGTACAAGAACAAGTCTGCTATTAAAGGGGCACAATTGGTGCCCATAGGAATACCTACAATATGTCGATAAACTTTATTGCCGAAACGTACACAAATACTATCAAGGAGAAAATTAACAGCTTCAATCATCTCATCACACCTCCAGTAAATAAATCTAGCATATTTACCTTTCTCATTAGAGAAGAAGGCTTTAAATGAAGAAGGCTTTAAATGAGTTGCAGCAAATATTTTTGCATTCAGATTTATCAAAACGACCAATTAATTAAATAGGAAAACTTTTGTTTGATAAGATTGTGTGGAAGTGTAGCGTAAAGAGTTGAAAAGTCAAAACTGTCAACAGAATCAAAAGGACTATCAAAAGTACGTAATTTATCTTAAACATCCAAAGATTTTTTAAACTCCAAAAAAAGTTAATTCCACTATTTTCATATATTTTATTACAAAAGTTGATGATGAGTTCTTTGATAGTAGTTAAGGAACTAGTTAAAAGCACTGAAAGATTAGTTGTAGAACACTCACTAGAGGCCAGGATGAAACGATATTTTACTGGTTTTGTGTGTAGTTCAAGTAACCAATACATAGTAGGGACCTTCAAATGTTCAGAAGAGGCCTCAAGCTGTGATGTGGTTATGATATGTTTGTTTACTATATGACTCTCTGTGGAGCGCACGGACTTAAATGTAAAAGAAATAAAAATCTCACTCTTAAGAACGTCCGTGTAATATTTACGGCATACCACCACCACATTGTTGGCTGCTTTCTCGGCCGGTACAAACACAAACCGCTTTGAAAGTACTTGAAGTTTGTTTCTTATACTAGAAATAGGCATATTATGTACTCTTTTACTTATTTCTGAATTATTTTCAAAATGTGATATTCGAATATCCACAATATTCATACATTTATTCAAATAAGAATCAAGAGATTTTTTATCGGATTTTTTTCGAAGTAGCTCTTGGCTGCTTTGGATTTTTTTTCAAGTATCTTCTTATTGTTATTTGATCAGTTAGATGTTTTTTTCTGTTACCGCTTGGGTTTTTTAAGCGACGGCGGTGTTTTACTGCTACTGCTACTGCTATGGATAGATAAATAAATAAGTAACAAGATAACAAGATAAATATAAAGATAATATGTGTGTATTATGATAAGTACATCTTTATGCTAAATGCAAAGAGACGTTCATAATAGCAGTTTACAGTATTGCAAAAATAGTATGTACTTACACACACACAACACACACACACATACAAATTATCTGATTTTATATAATTTTAAAAAGAAAAGTTCGTCATATAACATTTCGTTAAACATAAATTACGTGATTGTTGTACACTAGTTTTTTTATCTAGAAAATATAAACTGTTTGTCCAAAGACGATATACAGGGTGAATACAGTTTCTTTTGTATTTATCACAAGAATAAATTGTCCATTGTTTTCAATTTTATACCATCATTAACCCGACAGTAAATTCAAAATATTATAACGGCCTCTACCAAGGAAGTAGAAGACGGCACTTATATATCCAGCCCTTGACAGTTTTCAGCCTACCACAGGCGGCAACAAAACAGTGTCAATTACATGGATTACTCCATTGACAACTGAAATATCCGCTGTTGTTATTTTACAGTCATTTACCACCAACTTATCTGAAAAATAAAAAAACAAATCTTTTTTTTAATTTACCACCTAATTTTACAAATTTCATAATTTTATAGAAATCGAGATCGATTTATTATTTCTAAGAGAATTACAGACATTAGAAACTAGGGCAATCTTATCATAGATCGAGAGGCGAAAAGAATAACGACAGTAATATTTGTATGGATTTTATGATCACTTTGAACATAAATTAATGGTCAAACAACATGCACACGTCAGTAAATCGGGTATGTTATTATTGAGAAAAGAGGAATCCAGTATGATCATTTTATTTTTTTTTTTTTTTATTTAAGATGTCCCCTTCTGTGTGTGTTTATGATGTTGAGGCGTCATATAAACCGTGTTTATAGTGATGTCTTTCATTTCTGAACTTCTGGAATGAATTACCTGGATTCATTGTGATATTTAGAGATCTGCCTTCTACTGTTGGCAGTACCATTCCATTCGTCAAACCAGCAGTGTATAAAGTTCCTTTCAGCAAGTGATAATTTAAAGTATCTACAAAATAGGAGATTCATATTTTACCAATTGCCTGATTAACAGTTCTGCCATAAATCCCACGTTCCTTAGGCTTTTGTCAAGTGCGCGTAGATATTTAGTGTCATGATCCGTCTTTTCCACCAGATATATATATTCACATAATAATTAATACCTTACCAAGCCAGTCTTTAAACAACTACAAATCAAGTATTTGCTAAATTTAGTGCAGAAAATAATTTGGATAACTACTGTAACTTAAACTTAATTTCGCACATACTTTATTTCGCGTTAAGTTCTTTCTAGCCAACTTCGCGGGGATTCGTTTTCGCGATTTTCTGATTTTCTTGATATATTTATATAAAGGGAAGATCAAAAGTTTATATATTCGCGACGATTTACATTCGCGTTATTTTTCTACTCGCGAAAGTTGCGAAAATTTAGAAGTACTGAACAGTCTTCAACACGCCTCATTATGAAAGAAACAGAAAAATTGTTTGATAAAAGAAGAAAAAAAAGAAAAATATCAAATACGTCTACTCTACATCCAGAAATATAAAGTAAAATATCATATTAAACGTTGATATTTGCGATTAGATTTTTAGTGTATAACCTTAACCTATCAATAGTAATCTAACATTTTAACTGACATTTTATACACAACAAACATTAAGTTTAAGGTGGATCATCGGAATATATTTCTTCAGATAGAATTTTCTTATACTTTGCCAAAATGAAGATTTTACCATGCTTTTTTCCAAAATATAATAAAAAGTATTGGTCACCGTGCTATTTTTCAAGCTACAAGTCGTGCAAAGTTTCCAAAATTTGCATAGATTGTTCATGAAAAAACACATTTTTGTGAATACAAAGAAGTCTATGAGATAGAATTTTGAAATAAAATATGAGAAGATAGGTTTTATAATATGCTTTAAGAAAAGAAAAAAGAAAAAAATGGTGTCACCGAACTTGTTTTCTTGCTACAAGTAAAATATGAAAAAATTTCAATATCATCCCAGTATAAAAATTTTACTATAAGAGTTATCTCCCCTTAAATGGCTAAGTTGAAAAATTGATTCTAAAAACGCAAATATTTGGTATTTGTTTGAACATTTTGGATTGTGCAATGAATCACGCATTTTTCTTTAAACAAATAAACATTCTTACACATAAATTGCAAATCTGTCTCAAAACTTGCAGATTTAGGCAAAGAACTAGCCCGAGAGAATGACAAGCTCTCATCACGTTAGATATCACTTGTTACAACTCTTTGAGGGGTCATAAGGTGGCTTAGTGGGTCCAAATTTCCCCTCTTTATGCAGAGTGGTCCACTTTACAGAAACAAGAATAACGTAGTGTCTTTAATGGTCGGTCACACTTTTCCTTGAATTTTTGATTCGTGTTTGCATCTTTTTAGTCAGTTCGATACCATCATGTTCTTATAACCTAAAGTATGAAAAATATGCAAGTGATCATAAATGAACTTACCTGAAAGTTTTTTGTCATCACTAACTAATTTAATCAAAAGGTATGGAGGGAATTGTTCAAAAGCTGCATCTGTTGGTGCAAATAATGTGTAAGGCCCATCTGCAAATTAAAAAATAAATCGTTATTTAAAATATATATTATCGACATTTACAGTGAAAAAAACTTTTCACATGGTATTTCATGTCCAGAAAAAATGTTTTCATTACATTGTGATGTTTAATCTAAACCTCATGACTTCAAACACGTGTGTTTTTTTTTTCACTAGCTACAATAAATGCTTTTATACCAACATATATACAGTTCTTCCTCATTACGCACATTTCATAAATCATTTATCAATAAGATTTACTTAACTTTATAATTCAAACTGATACATGCAACTTTAATGGGAAATTTAATTTGAGCGCTAAGTATTATTTTCCAAATCAAATGACAATGTCCGGATAATATCAGCATAGTAATGTTGTTCAGGTGATACCATTCCTTTCTTATAATCTGTTCTTGGTAATTTTAGCAAAAACGAATGTTCCAATTTTTCTAGTCATACTTAGTTTTGGGCGGTTTGGGATTTTTTTATTGTTTTTTTTTTTATTATTCTATTGTCCCCTTGTTTTTATATATCTACAACTGTTTAAACATTTTGATCTCAACATTCAAGATGCTTTGTCCAGAAAAAAAAAGTTACTCTCAGCAATTTTAAAGTGGGACGTGCTTAATTCTAACCAGGTTTTATGGAGACCAACCTCTGATACGTATATAGTACTGATAATGTGACAGTTTAACCTCAATGTGAACTCATTTATTCTTACCTATTAATTTTCGTTCTAGTTTGACCTTCACAAACGAATGGATGAATTTATAAAACTCGCCATTGCTGGCTAGGTACTGTAGCATGTTTTGACTTGGTAACGGTACAAGGACCTTGTCAATGACATGGATAACACCGTTTGTTGCGTTTTGGTCAGCAAGTAAAACTTTACTTCCATCTATTACTATTTTCTGAAGAAACATATAAATATGAATAGTTGAAGATTATCAGTCCAGGTATAAAAAGACAAGCAGTTGTTAATTAGTAAAAAAGGGAAACAATTGAATACAAGTAACAACTCTTTTGGGGGGGGGGGGGGGGGGGCAACATATTACAAAATTGCGATTAAATACTCAAACACTATAGCCTGAAAAATACCCATGATATGTCAAGAAGCTCCAATGTATGACATTCTCAGTCTACACTTTCGTTTTCATGTTTTTACAGAAAAGGAATTTTATATTTGTATTTCTGCTATTATCACGTCACACTGACGCGTTATAAATTTTAGAAAGAGCTAAGACATGCCTTATCATAACTTGTCCTTTCTGATAATTTTTTTCTTAATAATGCGCAGAGATTTATAGCTCTTTATAATCAAATACACCCTAATAAGTCCAGGTTTTCTCCGAAGTTACTTGCAATTTGTCTTTTACTAGTCAACAAGGTAACGAAGACGTTGACAGCTATACCCTTATCAACATAAATAAAGGATGGCCTTTAAAATACTAAGAATGTGTTCTCTGTTAATATATACTTATGATGATTTGTCATGCCATCAACACCAATTTCCCTTAATGTAAAAACAGCACGATACATGTAGTTACGAATTGAATGCTTCTTTTTGTAATTTTATCGAGTGTAAAAGCGAAGACCGAAGCACATTTTGTACAAAGCGCGGAAGCTCTTCATACTTAAAATGTGCGCATGATCAACTCTCTGGCAACCCTACATAATTACAAAAACATTCCCCGTTTCTATTCTCAAATTTATTCAATTCTTAAAATTACGTGTTTATGCATCAACCATGAAATAACGAGTTCTATCAAATTTTCGTTTGTTTTCCTAGGCATTGTTGTAAGGTTGTCATGAGAAGCACGTGATGTCAATGAAAATCACTATAGAAAAGAGCACTTAACTCCCTTATACCCGTTTAATAGATAATAATTACATTACATGTATGTTTCATTATGATACGTTATTTTGATTGGATAACAGCAATCTCGCGTCATTCGGAAATTAACCTTCATTTCAAAATGAAATGTAACATTCATGATGACACGAGCTTCCACAATAAAGTACACAGGTAATTAAAAGAAAAACTTGATAGAAATCGTGTTTTCATGATCTTAGCAAAAAAATGTAATTATAAGTATTGAATGCTTCTTTTAGACTAGTAATTTTATAGGGTTGTAAAAGCGTTGACCGTGCGCACATTTTTAGAAAAAAAAATGTACTTCGGTCAACGCTTTTACACCCCAAAAAATTTACAAAAAGAAGCATTCAATTCTTAAATAAAATACAAGTACAAACAAAAACAACAATAAATGGTCGCCGCGTGAAAGAGGGCTCGCAGTTGCTTAACGCAAGCTCAAAGTACTTACCCGGCTGATATGAATCATTCTGTCCTACACTTTCTAAGGCATGAGATGAACTATCGATCGATATAGGCGAGTAAACGACAAAATAAATCGTTTACTGATTAAGTTTTGCTTTATGACATATAACAAGGTTCCATTGGAACAAACTAACTGTATTGGTGATAAAATAAAATGATTTATATAAGAAATTTTAAGCACCGACGCACCTCTTTTCACCTTGATGTCATAGTATTTACCTTATTATACAGATTGATTCTAACTTTCATGTTATTATTAAGAGTAGGTATCCTTTTCTCATGATTTAACTCCTTGGTATATATCTTCCAGCTTAGTATATGGAACAAAAGTACAGACTTTAACATCTCCTTGTCCTTAGTCATTTTATTTAATACATCATTTGCTAAAGCATCAAATGCATTATCGGTGGGTACAAAAACTGTAAACGGACCTGCAAATCATGCATAAACATTTAAGCATAAAAAACACATTGAAATAGTCGAAAAAAGATAGGCTATGTGTGATAATCTTTGATGTAATATAAAATGAAACACCTTGAAACATGTACTAATTTAAAACAAGAGACAAAACATTGCTTATCACACCTTTTAAAATTTAAGTTAGCCAGTGTTTCGGAATTGGCATGAACTAACTGATACATTTTGAGTGTAAACTTCCAGGTCATAAAATTATGTAATTGTGATAAATTAAGACGACAGTAGTTTACAGATGTTCAAATCTCGTAAATGGATTAGGAAGAGATAATTCAAGGTACCAAACAAGAACTGAGAGAATTGCATGAACTCCAAAAGGAGCGAGACCGGTTACGTGATAATTGATGGTGACCGTAAAACTTAGGGGTTGATTTCAGTCGTTCTTCCTCATAACTCTGATGGAGCAGTTTTTGCGTAAGAAGCACACCCCTGTCAAATAAATCCGTACAGTGTAAACATGCACGAGCGTAACCATCAACTTAGATTTGTAAATGCCATACGATGAAACAGTGGTATGTTACTGCTGAGACATGGGAATTGACAATTGGAAAGTTGAAATTGAAGTCATAGATTCTTGTTTGAAGTCGTCCAGATTTGTCAATATTGAGGAAAGGACCAAGATATGAAGCAGATCTTCTATACTTTCGTTACTATCCTTAATCTCAAGTTCACTAAGATGTATAAGATGTAAGCGCTCATTGAAATGTGGTAAAACTGGGATTGCGAATTTACCACTGACGGTTTGGGCTTTTCTGTAAATATGCTCTCAAACGTTTTATATTTTTGATAAGTTGGTATTGGAAAGTTATTCCAGAAATACGTGTTGTCTTTTGGTTTTTATGCTGTTGAACATTTTATATTTTTGCTTTCCGAAAGTTTTGGTCTTGAGCATACTTGTCGAAGGTTATTCTGGAAACGCGCGTGTGTTCAGTCACCAGTGTCTGAGTAGAAAGTTTACGAACCAGGGTTATGTCAAAGAACGTCTCGTTCTTTTTCTTAAAAAAGTTCATCGGAAGATACCAAGACCTTGTTGACAAATAATCCGTATCAACTTACTGTTAAAGTCCATTTTTGGTAATATCCTTTTGGCGTGGCTCGGTACTTATACATCCCGCCAATGTTATTGTGCTATGGCCATTTTTTGTACTTTTGTTTTTCATTTTTGCTTATGTGCTTTGTCTATATGCCATTTTGTTTTTCTTTGTCGACATATTTGTTTGTTTTTATAGTGATTAAGATTACAACACAATGTTGACTGTTGTACCCCTATTTTTGACATTTTTACCGGTTATATCTGTTTGTTTTGTTCACACATTGTTGTCAATATATAATGGAATTTTATGCGACTGCCATTCAAATGAGAGGTTTAGCTAGCTATAAAACCAGGTTTAATCCACCATTTTCTACAAAGGAAATGCCTGTACCAAGTCATGAATATGACAGCTGTTTTCCATTCGTTTGATGTGTTTAAGCTTTTTGATTTTGCCATTGAATAAGGGACTTTCCGTTTTGAATTTTCCTTGGAGTTCGGTATTTTTGTTATATTACTGTTCACATGTTGTACGCACACAAATACGTTAAAAATATGTACTTTATGTATAAAATATGTGTGATAGCCTGTTATTTTATGTATTTTGTATATTTTTATATTCTTAGTACTTGATATTAGTATATACTTGAATAAAGTTATATTGTTAGCTTAATAATTACATTTTGTAATTAAGGATTAGCATTGTGTATTATTCTATTTTAACTTATTGACATGGACTATTGACGGACGAATTCTCATCTCATGTTTTGGTTAAGTCTGATTTCACTGTAGTTAGTACTTTATTTTCACGGTTGATTTGAGCGCTATGGTACATTTCTTCTATTGGTCAGTACTTTTGGCGGTTTAATTCCTTTGTTCTAGATCTTATGGGAAGACATCTTGTGGTCAACACCTATATATTTACCTGTCTGCAATTTAACAACTTGAAGAAATTAATATCTGTTAAATAACAATTCTGTGATTGGAAAGTTTCTTATATAAGGTCAGTCTTATTCTCTCTTTATTAATTTTGCAATAACTGTCCAATAGTTCATATTTTACACGTATGAATGTTTAGATTGAATGTCGAGAACGAGTGTTAAATTTTATAACAAAAGAGATCGTAAATGTATTTAAAACATAAGAAGAGTAGAATTTTACGATCAGATATAATAATACTTCATTAACCTATTTAAATCTGGTATAATAATTTGAAGATAAAACTTTACGTATAAAATTGAATGAATGCACGTATCGAGCGGCCCGGTATGAATGCGGTAATTTTTTAAAGGTTAATCGAATTAAAGTAAATATATCTTAGAGCTAAAAATAGATATCTAGGTTTAATATTGATTTTTATAGTAAACATGAGTTTGTACTATAAACAATAAATAATGCTTAACAAAGATTTATAATAATCATTTTTGTTATACAGGTATATTTAAACCTTGCCAAAGATGTAGTATTCGATATTTAATGGTTTATATGGAAATGTGCCACTTGCACGATATGTGAGGTAAGCTAAGTGTATTTGTATTCTTGTTTCGCTTAGCTTTAGTTTTTAATATTTGCTTTGCTATATTGTTACTTTTTGTGCTTATTTGCTTTTTGATTTAACCAAGCACGCAGCTTACGTTTTTGTGTAGTTTATGTTACCAACACAAGTAATATTTATAATAGACATTGGTATGAGACAGCATATGAGAACATGTACTATTATATCTAAGTCTAATTGGTATAACTGTAATTGAGACAAGTAATGGCTATTGTATCCACAGTATATATTTTTGTGACTAGATACATAAGTATGCAGCTAAATAAGTTTGCATGATAATGAATTACGAACATTAGTTTTAATTATTACTTAGTAAACAGATTTATCTATCTGTAACTTATAAGTACATTTATATTTTACAGGGCTGTATTTACATATTCATATAGTTACTTCGTTTTCGTCTGAATAAAAGTTACAGAACCCTAGATTGCAGTTATTTCTTTTATTACTAAAAGCCCGAGGAAAATCGGCTTTTACATTGGCGCCCAACGTACTTAGGAAGCTTTACTCAGCGACGAAGTAGAAACCAAGAATATATTCTGAACTTTGACAACGACAGTGAATTCGTACGGAAAAATTACATACGCAATACCGGAAACTGATCAGTGACGTATATCAACATAACCGGTTCATGAACTAGGACGACAGAGAACACATTTTTCGTTGGATTCATCTTGATCAACAAACATTATTGCTGAATTTATTGAACATATTAGTATTATAGTAAGTTCATATATACTTATAATTAATTGCCTGATAATATACATTGTATAAATCTAGTTGTGTAGCATTTATCGTATGTAGAGACTTCAAAATAATTGAAATTGGTGTTTGAAAAATTTGTCCAATTTTTATTTTGTAAACATTACACGCCGAAAAGCGTTAGCATTACTGACACTGAGTTAACATAAAACTCGATTGAAGACAAGCATACAAGTGGCCTTTATTGAGATTTAATTCATATTTAGACATTTACATTAAGACTTTGTACTTTGTTTATTTGTTTGTTGATACTTGACCCCCCCCCCCCCCCCACCCATAAAAAAGACCACACCCATAGATATAAGGTCAAGGTCAACCGGAAGTACACTTAATAAAGCTGTCTAGACATACACCACATGTAAACAAACATTTATTTACACACAGAGAGTGACATACATTTAGAATTGGTATTTTGCATTGAATATTATACACATTGATTGTGTTTGAAATATTTATGTCACATTAAAGCAAAACCAGACTTTGTTAATTTACGCATACACTTTGATAAGTGAATAAAGTCCAACTTTGTTTAACACACACACATACATACATACATAGGGTTCTTTGATATTGATTGATATTAACAAAATAAATTCAGACAGATTTTGTGAATTTTTGTTGTTGTGTGTATATGATATTTTTTGTGTGTGACTTTGTTTATTATCATTGTGTCATTTGTGTTTTATGTTGATTGTGCATAGTCCTGTGTAGTATATAGTTGTTTACATGTATTAGTGTTGTATACTGTACATTGTGTTGTGTTGATTGTGTATATTTGTTTGTGAATTTAAAATTTCAGATTTGATTTAAAATTTAATTTTCAATTTAAATTTAGAAACATCAGATAAATTTATCATACAAGTTAAACATTTAAATAGTAACTTAATATATTAAAGTTAAGATTTGTACGCATAGTAGTTAAACTTGTTTGAGTGTAAAGTTGCATGTTCCTTTATAACAGGTAGTTCTTTAACAACTGCACCACCTATCCATACTCCTAAACCTTACCTATTGCATGTAATACACATACATCCATTTCAACTTCTGATTTTTTTTTTCTTGATTCTCTTGACTGTATTTTTTCAGGATAGGATAGTTCTTAGGATTTTGATTCTGATTTAAGTTGACATTTGAGACTTAGACTTACATTGACAATTTGATTTGATATTTAGTACAGAGTAACATAGTAAGTATTGTTGTTTCATAGTTTTAGATTGTGAACGTAAAAGATTCACATATCTATTACACACTTTTGTAGGTAGAAGCAGATTATTTATATTATTATTTGGTAGGTACATTTGATAAATTGTATATATATAGTATATTTTGATATACTGGGATTGAGATTAGATCTTTTTGATATTTGGTATATAGATTTTTTTTGATATTTGGTATATAGATTTTTTTTTTGATATATGGCCAAGAAGGGAGGAACCGAGGAGGTCCCTATTGAACAACCTACTACTCCATTAGTTGAGAATCCATCACCTGCACTACATGAGATCATGGAAGTATTTGCCAAGACAGGAGTCAAACCAAAGGCTGATACACCTGAGGACCTAACTAAATGGATGATAGACTACCTAAAATCTACTGGAGCCATCAAATTAGAACAGGTTAATCCAGAGCTGGTATTACCATCTCCACCTAAGGCACCACCAAGGGAAAAATCTAACAAAGTAGTTATGACACACCCACCAAGGATTTCCAACTTTTCTGGAAATGAACCTAAGTCAGGGGACACCACCTATGAGTTATGGAAGCAGGAAGTAAAGTTGCTGATGAAACAGTCATATGAGAAGGAAGCCATCTTGAATGCTGTTCGAAGGTCACTAAGAGGGGAAGCTGGATATGCAGCCATGCGACTGGATTTAGATGCATCAGTTGAGGAAGTCATTCATAAGCTAGACTCTATTTATGGGAATGTCGACAAGAAGGAAGAACTTTTGGCAGAGTTTTATGGATCACGCCAAAAAGAAGATGAAACTGTCACTAGCTGGAGTTGCCGTCTAGAATCACTCATGGGACAGGCAGTAGAGAGAGGTATTGTTGGAAGACAGGATGTAGATGGTATGCTTCACTCCATGTTGTGGACTGGTCTGAGAACATCACTCAAGGACATCTCGGGACACAAGTATGACACCATCAAGGAATTTGATGCACTGAGAGTTGCACTTCGCCAGATAGAGAATGATCACTTGCACCGAGAAGTATTAAGCAAGCCTTCCAAACCACAAACCAGTAAAGCAGCAATTGAACAATCTGATGTTGAGGATATCAAAGGAATGATCCAGCAGATGACAACTAGAATGGACAGTTATGAAAAGAAATTGGACCAACAAGAACCTCCCTGGCAACAACAACCATCCACATGGCAACAACCTACCTGGCAACCAAAGCCTTGGCAACAACACTGGCAACCAGGATGGCAACAACAGAGAGGTAGAGGTAGAGGATTTGGTAGAGGACAAGGACAACAACAGACACATGATGAACCTCAATGTTGGAGATGTGGACAAACTGGACATTATAAAAGAGGTTGTGCTGTAAGAATGGATCACAGCAGGAAGAATTTAAACGGCAAGAAGTCTATGAAGGGGGAGCATCCATAGGCTTATGTAGAAGTAGTGTTCCCAAAACCAGTCATGTAAAAGTACCACCAGGATTATTTGGTAAACCAACAGAAACTAAAGTTTGTATTGAAGGCTTAGAAACACCTGCACTTCTTGATACTGGTTCCACCGTCTCAACTATCAGCGAATCTTTTTACAGGGAACATTTAACAACACCATTGAACAACATAACAACACTACTAGATATTGAATGTGCTGATGGCCAGAAACTACCATACTTAGGCTACATAGAAGCAGATCTACAAATACCAGGGTATAAACAGATACACTCATCTATCCTGTTAGTTACACCAGACAGTCGATACAATCAGCAAGTACCATTATTACTAGGAACTAACACGCTCTCATACTTCATGGAATCTCTCAGGAAGGACTTTGGAGAAAGATTTTTACAGACTAGTAAGGTGACTACATCCTGGTATCTCACATTCAGATGCATACTACTTCAAGAAAAGGAACTCAAGAAAAACAACAACATCTTAGGTCTTATAAAGAATGCAGAAGTTAAAAAGATCATTGTACCACCGAACACTACCATCACATTATCTGGATATGTTGACAAGGAAGTTCCATACCATACTACACCAGCTATGCTCCATCCTTGCAACTTAGCCAAAGATTCGGAAGACTTTGATGTTGAACCATCTTTGATTACATACCAACACACACGGAACGGGACAGTTACTGTTACCATAGAGAATTTGACAACAAGAACACTGAGTATACCACCAAAGGCAATAGTATGTGAATTACAACCAGTCCAACTAGAACCTTCACCAAGTTTACCATCTGAAGAGGAAATTACTAACATCATGGAGAAGATAAAGATTACACAGAGCACATTAACAGATGAACAACTAGATGCAGGAGTTCAACTTCTACGCTCGTACATGGACATTTTCTCCAAGACTGATGAGGACGTAGGTCGTACAGATATTGTGAAACATCGCATCGATATGACAGATGATAGACCTTTTAAGCAACGATACAGAAGAATTCCTCCATCAGCTTATGAAGAAGTTAGAGATCATCTTCGACAACTCACACATGCAGGGATTATTAGACCATCTAAGAGTCCATTTGCCTCCAATGTAGTTCTCGCCAGAAAGAAGGATAACAGCCTACGCCTGTGTGTTGATTATCGTCAGCTCAACAATAGGACGAAAAAAGATAGCTATAGCTTGCCGAGGATTGAAGACCTGCTTGATTGTCTCTCCGGAAGTACCTTTTTCAGTGTTGTTGATATGAAGTCCGGGTATCATCAAGTGGAGCTGTACGAACCACACAAGGAAAGGACTGCATTCACAGTAGGACCTCTAGGCTTCTATGAGTACAACAGAATGCCATTTGGACTCACCAACAGTCCCGCCACCTACCAAAGACTCATGGAAGACTGTCTAGCTGATTACCACCTTAGAATATGCTGTGTGTTCATTGATGATGTGATTATCTTTGGGAAGACATACGAGGAACATCTTAACAACTTGCAACTGGTAATGGACCGCATAAGAAAGGCGAACCTGAAGTTGGCACCCAAGAAGTGTTCTTTCTTCCAACGCAAAGTAAAGTTCCTTGGACACATTGTTTCAGCGGATGGAGTGGAAGTGGATCCAGAAAAGACCGAGAAAGTCATGGCTTGGCCTACACCAACATCACCTAAAGATGTTCGACGTTTTTTGGGATTAGCTGGATATTACAGACGCTTCATTAAGAACTTCAGTCAGATCAGCAGACCATTGACAGAATTGATGCCAATTCCATCAGGTAGGAAAGGACAGAAGAAGAAGAAACAACCACAGAAGGAATGGCATTGGGGAGAACAACAGGACCAAGCATTCAGGAAATTGAAGGAACTATTAACATCAGCTCCGGTATTGAGTTACCCTGACAACAGTTTGCAGTATGAACTTCACACAGATGCGTCTGGTTTTGGACTTGGTGCTGTACTTTACCAGGAACAAAATGGAGAGAAACACGTCATCTGTTATGCCAGTAGAGGGCTAACCAAAGCCGAGAAGAATTATCCGGCTCACAAGATGGAGTTCCTGGCGTTGAAGTGGGCAATAACAGACAAGTTTAAGGATTACCTGTATGGACCAGCGCATTTTACAGTGATGACCGACAACAATCCTTTGACGTATGTCCTCACCACTGCCAAACTGGATGCCACAGGACACAGATGGTTAGCCGATCTTGCAACCTATAACTTTGACATCAAGTATCGTCCAGGGAGAAACAACTCTGATGCTGACGCCTTAAGCAGACTTCCCAAGGACATAGTAGAGATCAAAACCGATACCATAAGAGCCATCTGTAATTCCATAACATCAGTACCTTATGCAGAATGTTTAGCAGTCAATCCAGATGTACTGCAAGATGACAACGATCTGAATGGAACATCTACATCAGATATCATAGACTGGAAGAGAGCCCAAAGACAAGACACAGTTGTTAGTCACTGGATTGATATGATACAGAAACAACAGAAACCAGAGAAAGGCGACGCCATACTTAAGAGGCAGTACCATCATTTGAAGATCATAGATGGCGTATTATATCGACAGGTTACTATCAACGATGAAGTTAAACAACAGCTAGTACTTCCAGCAGCACATGTTTCTACAACACTTCAGGCACTGCACAACGACATGGGACACCCTGGCAAAGACCGTACATTGTCATTATTGAGAGACAGATTTTACTGGCCTGGTATAGCCAAGGATGTTGAAGAATGGATAGCACATTGTGGAAGGTGCATTCGAAGAAAGACACTTCCAAACCAGAGAGCTCCACTAGTCAGTATTGAGACAACAACACCACTACAGCTAGTGTGTATGGACTACCTTACTTTAGAGCCATCCAAAGGAGGTCAACAACACATCCTGGTCATAACAGATCACTTCACCAGATTTACTCAAGCCATTCCCACCAAGAACCAAACAGCAAAGACAACAGCTGAAGCCTTCTATCAGAATTTCATAGTGCTTTATGGAATACCCGACCGGATACATTCAGACCAAGGGGCTAACTTCGAATCCAAAATCATAAAGGAGTTATGCAGTATGACAGGGATGACAAAGTCACGTACCACCAGTTATCATCCAATGGGGAACGGGATGTGCGAAAGGTTCAACCGAACTCTACTTAACATGCTGGGGACACTTCAACCAGACAAGAAGAAGAACTGGAAAGCTTATGTAGGACCACTTGTCCACGCATACAACTGTACCAAGCATGAGTCTACTGGATTTGCACCATATTACCTTATGTTTGGAAGAGATCCCAGACTTCCAGTGGATGTAGCGTTTGGTATACGAAAAGAGACAGGATCTAATTACATCAAGGACCTTAGAGAACGGTTGGAATTTGCGCACAACTTAGCTACTGAAGCGTCGAAGAAAGCACAACTGAAACAAAAGAAGAACTATGACACCAGAGTAAAGGGAGCTACCATCAAGAAAGGAGATTTAGTCCTGGTGAAGATAGTTGCATTTGAAGGCAAACACAAATTATCAGACAAGTGGGAGCAGGATCCGTATGTTGTACTCGAACAACCGAATCTGGACATACCAGTCTTCACAGTGAGAAAGGAGAATGGAGAAGGACGTAAGAGGAACCTCCATAGAAACTTGCTGTTGCCAGTGGGTCACCTTGTAGAACCAACTAAGCCAGTACCTAAACCCAGAAAACGAACCAAGAAGGAACCACCGAAACCTGCACCTAGAATATGCAAGAAACCGACAGCCAATTATCCGGAATCATCTGATGATGAGGATATTATAGATGTGATATTGGAACCATTAGTTGAGGATGACAGTGATTCAACCATCACTTCAGATATAACTCAGCCAGTTGTTATTCCAACAAGCAATGTGGATACAGAAGATGATTCTGAATCTGAAGGGGACGCCCACTCTCATGACACCATTGGGACAGATTCAGATATCAGCGACAGAAGGCCTTCACAAGAGGTGACCAGTGACAATCAGGAGGATATTTCTGACAGTTCGTCATCATCGTCACCTGTGAGTATTCGTCGGTCAACCAGAACAAAGAAAGCACCTGCTTGGATGACGTCAGGAACATATGAGCTTTCTAAGAGTGCAAGTCACACCACCACTGCAGATTGGTTTCAGAGGGTTCAATGCCTTTCATCTTTAGCAGACACTCATCTATTTCATGGAAAACAGGCAGAAGCAGCACAGGCCATTATTGATATCATTTCAACAGCAACCACACACAGGAAATGACGGGACGTCATTTCACGGCTGGGGGGAGTATGTGATAGCCTGTTATTTTATGTATTTTGTATATTTTTATATTCTTAGTACTTGATATTAGTATATACTTGAATAAAGTTATATTGTTAGCTTAATAATTACATTTTGTAATTAAGGATTAGCATTGTGTATTATTCTATTTTAACTTATTGACATGGACTATTGACGGACGAATTCTCATCTCATGTTTTGGTTAAGTCTGATTTCACTGTAGTTAGTACTTTATTTTCACGGTTGATTTGAGCGCTATGGTACATTTCTTCTATTGGTCAGTACTTTTGGCGGTTTAATTCCTTTGTTCTAGATCTTATGGGAAGACATCTTGTGGTCAACACCTATATATTTACCTGTCTGCAATTTAACAACTTGAAGAAATTAATATCTGTTAAATAACAATTCTGTGATTGGAAAGTTTCTTATATAAGGTCAGTCTTATTCTCTCTTTATTAATTTTGCAATAACTGTCCAATAGTTCATATTTTACACGTATGAATGTTTAGATTGAATGTCGAGAACGAGTGTTAAATTTTATAACAAAAGAGATCGTAAATGTATTTAAAACATAAGAAGAGTAGAATTTTACGATCAGATATAATAATACTTCATTAACCTATTTAAATCTGGTATAATAATTTGAAGATAAAACTTTACGTATAAAATTGAATGAATGCACGTATCGAGCGGCCCGGTATGAATGCGGTAATTTTTTAAAGGTTAATCGAATTAAAGTAAATATATCTTAGAGCTAAAAATAGATATCTAGGTTTAATATTGATTTTTATAGTAAACATGAGTTTGTACTATAAACAATAAATAATGCTTAACAAAGATTTATAATAATCATTTTTGTTATACAGGTATATTTAAACCTTGCCAAAGATGTAGTATTCGATATTTAATGGTTTATATGGAAATGTGCCACTTGCACGATATGTGAGGTAAGCTAAGTGTATTTGTATTCTTGTTTCGCTTAGCTTTAGTTTTTAATATTTGCTTTGCTATATTGTTACTTTTTGTGCTTATTTGCTTTTTGATTTAACCAAGCACGCAGCTTACGTTTTTGTGTAGTTTATGTTACCAACACAAGTAATATTTATAATAGACATTGGTATGAGACAGCATATGAGAACATGTACTATTATATCTAAGTCTAATTGGTATAACTGTAATTGAGACAAGTAATGGCTATTGTATCCACAGTATATATTTTTGTGACTAGATACATAAGTATGCAGCTAAATAAGTTTGCATGATAATGAATTACGAACATTAGTTTTAATTATTACTTAGTAAACAGATTTATCTATCTGTAACTTATAAGTACATTTATATTTTACAGGGCTGTATTTACATATTCATATAGTTACTTCGTTTTCGTCTGAATAAAAGTTACAGAACCCTAGATTGCAGTTATTTCTTTTATTACTAAAAGCCCGAGGAAAATCGGCTTTTACATATGTATGACATGTATAACATGTATCATACTTGTATGTATTAATACTGTTTCTGGTAACATTTTCATTGTTGAACCGTATAAAGAACAAACGAGTGGGTATCACAGTTGCCGAACGTCTTTTCCTAAGAATCTAAATATTAAATATTACTATGTAGTTTATACGTGTATGTATACAAGTTCGAGAGATATAAATACACTTACCTGACCCAGATAACATGTCAGTTAGTCCAACATCGTCTAGTAGCTTCACGAATTTTAAACCATTCAATTTTTCAGCTAATTCAGGTATTGTATCTGCACTCGATAACCCAAAATAAGCAATGATAATGCAAGTAATTGCTTTCATAGCAACTACAAGAGTTTGGGGAAACAATTCTTCCAAAATTATTTGACCTTTTATCTCGTACGGAAGTCACGAACGACATCTTAAGAGACGTTAAGATAAAAACTGTCTTATCAAGGTTGCGCAACCTTCACATTTCTACTTTAGCTTGATAATCAGCTCTTTATTTTTCACATATTATTAAATTCGAGTCAATACGTGTATATTTCAAACAATCGTATTAGAATTAAAGACGAAACAGCAACAAACTAGACAAGTACCTGTTTAGTCTGGTATCGTATTATTTGCCTCTGTTTAATTCATGCATAACCGGACAGACTTACATATTATTATACGTTGCATTTTCACAAACAGAGACTGCTTTAAAAAAGTTTAAATTCTGGTTAACTTATGTTTTTGAGATTATAACTATTTAAAATTGACCTACAGCTCCTTTTAATTAAACAAGATGCGTAAAATTCCGATATTCATTGCAAGCTCTTCTTTAGTGAGACCACAGTTTTTAAATAAAAAGATCACACTCAGACTACTTTACCAGTTCAGATAGGGAACCACGCCATTCTGAACCAACTCAATAGTTTATTTTTATAAATTTTACTTAACAAGCTCAGATACGGAAACAAACCGTCTATGTCATTTGGTCACTGGTGGAGAGTTGTCTCATTGGCAATCATACCACATCTCCTTATTTTATAAGACCCCCATATAAAGAAAAATCAAAATAATGTTGGCTAAATATCATTTTTCTCATAAAGGAGATTCTCTCTAATTTTCATGAACTCTTAAACAAATCGAACGATTTTAACTTATTACTAAAAACCCTAATATTGGACTAACCGATCAATGACCGACACGTCTAATCTTGGCGATTTCTTTGCAGACAGATCAAAATCAACTTTTTTTCATGGTTTGAAAGAAAAATAAAGTCCAGGAGCAGAACAAAATTGTCATGAACACGACTGTTTCCCTTGAAAGTGTGATATAAAACAAAGAAAAGGCTGTTATATAAAGGTTTGAACACAAACATACTATTCTTTTTGAAAAATATTACTTGCATATTAAAAAATATTACGAATACACATTGCGATTTATCTGATATTTTTGCAACATGCACAATCTTGTTTAGTAAGCGTCATTATCAACATATGGAAACAGATGGTACCAGACACTTACAGTTAAAATACGGAATTTATATTTAATAATGTACAGTCTATTTTTTTTTTTTAGGAAAGAGAGCCAAGCATCCACGCATCTTCTTCATTGCACTAGTCTTGATATATTAAAGTACATATGTAGAAGAGTTTTTTTGAATAAGGAAATCATGTAAAAATGATAACATAAAAAGACAACAATTGATAAGAAAACTCCTCATAGATACCAGGATTAAAATTGTGTACGCAAGACGCTCGCTTCGTGTACGTAAGACTCATCAGCGACTCTCGAATCAAAAAAGTTAAAAAGGCCAAATAAAGTTCGAAATTGAAGAGCATAAAGGATCCAAAATAAGATGAGCAGGTTTTCTATGTTAAAGTACTTACGCGACTTCTTAATGTTTGGGCATAAACAAATGAGGTTTGCACACTTTCCCACATTGTTCTGCTATTTCTGCAAGTACCGCTTGTTGAAGTTATTAATTTTCGATAAACAAAAACCAAGTATATTCTGACACAAAGTCGGGATACTCATGATTAAATATGAAACAAATGTTAATATATGTCACTTTTGTTAAATGCGATGATTATTTAAGAACTGTCTAGTTGTTTCAGACATGAATGTGGCCGATTGCATACATATGAGACAAAAAGCACTTACAGTTTAAATGGCTTAGTGAAAATAATGCTATATTCTGAGCTAGTTAAACAGTTCCCTCGCTGGCGCCGCTCATTCTTAATCATTAACAATTACTCTAACTAATACTTTGTTTCCAGCATTCGCATAGGCCCGTCATGAATTTATAACAGCATTTTCAAAAATGGAGGGGAAATCCGAAAATTTTTACTGACAATTTTATAAAAGGAGAGAGCGACTGTTTTTTTACGGAAATGTGAACATGCTTGTCAAAAAGATAAGACTGTGACAAAAATCTGTCAACGTATAACTATTCTGCTCTATTTCTGACATAGCCTGCATATCTCGCAACTATATTACAGGTTACAAGAGCGCAATTATTCGTAATGCATTTTCCATAGGGTACCACTGGTGTTCCGTATTTTTTTTCTCGAAGACTACACAAACTAGGGAAAAACGGATTGCAGTTCCTGTTACTAGAAATGCCAGTGTTGCATTACAATCAAAAAAATATATAGGGTCATGCGGCAGAAATTGACTTAAAATGCAGTTGAAAAAGATCGTCTATTTTTTTCGCTTAATGAAAAAGGCATAATTTTAATGGCTCCGACGTGCAGAAATGGAGGATATTTTCTATACTTCGTAAAATGTGAATATGATTTTCTGCAATTTTTAAACCTAATTGGATAAGCTTTCGATTAAATGTAATTCCAATCCTGTATCATCCAATCAGAAGCCGTATAGGATTCTATTCTGAGTACCATCTTGGGGTAAAAAACTTGCCGGTAAAATGTAAACAAATAATTGCGCTCTTGTAACCTATACGGTAATGAAAAACAATTGCGAAAATTAAGCGCCCGCGCTAAATGAAGCGCTAGCGTCTATCTAGATAAAATCACGTCTTTAAAACATTATCTGATCACTCTCTTAATTTTGAGAATTAGTTTTTGCCCGCCGATCGGGCCAAAAATTTGAACTGATTTTTTCACCAAATACGGTACTGTTCAAAAAGACATGAAGATAAAGTTTATTTACTGGCCTTATTTTTCAAAGGTCACCCAGCACTGATCATATTGTCGACAAAACCGTTCTGATATGGAAAAGCTACATCGATTTTTGAAGAATGGCTTTAAATGAAACCATTTCTTGAAAAAACACGTTTTTGAAACAGACTATAGTTTTTCCAAATTTTGAAAATATGATTATATTACTACTTTGGCAAGAGAAACTATTCTTGGACTACAATATTCAATGCCAAGATTAATTTTTCTACTTTGCAATTTAACTAAATCGTTGGTGTTTGCTTAGGGACCCTTTCGGTCAATTTTCACCAAATTAGCTTTTTGCTAGAATAGCAACTGCGTCACGATCATTATTGTTAAAAACCAAAATGAATCTTCAAATTCAAGATATACACATGCTTTTCCCCACAAAAACAGTAGATATCACAAAACCGTTCTATTCTCTTCATACTTTGTCGACATTCGAGCCTACCCTAGATTTAGATATGGAAATCAACACAAATAGGAAACAGACTATAGCTTGAATTCACGTTGATGAAAAGTCCATTTGACCCAATTTCTCGCTGTTTCACATTTTTTCCGAGCAAAATGACTATTTTTAACATTTTTCAAAGCCTTATTAAAAAAAAATGTCTTTTTTCTATAGGTTACAAGAGCGCAATTATTCGTAATGCATTTTCCATAGGGTACCACTGGTGTTCCGTATTTTTTTTCTCGAAGACTACACAAACTAGGGAAAAACGGATTGCAGTTCCTGTTACTAGAAATGCCAGTGTTGCATTACAATCAAAAAAATATATAGGGTCATGCGGCAGAAATTGACTTAAAATGCAGTTGAAAAAGATCGTCTATTTTTTTCGCTTAATGAAAAAGGCATAATTTTAATGGCTCCGACGTGCAGAAATGGAGGATATTTTCTATACTTCGTAAAATGTGAATATGATTTTCTGCAATTTTTAAACCTAATTGGATAAGCTTTCGATTAAATGTAATTCCAATCCTGTATCATCCAATCAGAAGCCGTATAGGATTCTATTCTGAGTACCATCTTGGGGTAAAAAAAACTTGCCGGTAAAATGTAAACAAATAATTGCGCTCTTGTAACCTACAAGGGTTTGTTGAAATCATGAATAGGAAACATATATTTTTCTTAACTTTATGATATAAGTAACAAACAAAAAACAGATAGACGTAGAGGCTTGATAAAAAGGGGTTTGAATAAATAGACCGGCATTGTAACTTACATCTTGAATCACAAAGCGAGAGAACTGTTTTTAATGCTTACGTTTTACCTCATTTAGATTATTGTTGTTCAATATGGGGAAACTGCAACAATTTTTATTACTTAGTTTACTAAAGCTGCAAAAGAGGGAAGCAAGAATAATTTTAGACGAACATAATTTCAACAAACCTTCTAGCGAATTATTTCACGAATGTGACATTGTATAAAAATAAGGAGATGTGGTATGATTGCCAATGAGACAACTATCCACCAAAGTTCAAATGAAGTGGATGTAAGCAATTATAGGCAACCGTACGGCCTTCAACAATGAGAAAAACCCATACCTTATGGTCGGCTATAAAAGGCCCCGCCATGAAAAAAATGAAACAATTCAATTGAGAAAACTAACGGCCTAATTTATAACAAAACAATTTACGAAAAACAAATAAGACAGACATGAACCAACGACAACCACTGAACTACAGGCTCCTGACTTGGGACAGGCACATAAAGAATGTGGCGGGGTTAAACATGTTTGTGAGCGCTAAACCCTCCCCCTAACCTGGGACAGTGGTGTAACAGTACAAGATAAGAACAAACTATAAAAATCAGTTGAAAAAGGATTAACTCATCAGATGGATGCAAATAGAAATACATCTAACAAAAACACAGAGTGGACGTGGACGGATACTTGTACATCCCCACAACAAAAAGACACTAAGTACAGATCTGAAAGTACTCGCAGTTACTGACAGCTAGTTCAAAGCCAATAACAACTAATAAAAAAATCATGTGCCTAAGACTAAAATATCAATCAGTACACATCCAACATCCAATGGATTTAGTGTCAAGACGTCATTAACAGTCAGGGAAAAACATGACCTTGTGCAATGCCAAACTATAGGTATCGACAGATTGTAGTGCCGTGAAAGTACATATGTGTAATATTTAGTATGGTTTTAATTTACTGATAGCAAAATCAATATTTATACCAATTAAAACAATTTTTAAAGATTTAATTACAGTGTTGAATAAGAATAAGTTTATTTAAAGGATTGAGAAGTTTACCCGGATCGTATCTAAATTTCCGGGCTTGGTTTACAACATCACCGCAAAATTTAGGATGTGCTATTCCGTCTGGAATAATAAACTTGCTGACCAAATCTTTGCATCTATGGAAGAATTTAGTAAAGGTTTTAAGTAATTTGTGCCGATTACAAAAAGAATACACTATCATAAATAAAATTGAGAATGGAAATGGGGAATATGTCAAAGAGACAACAACCCGACCAAAGAGCAGACAACAGCCGAAGGCCACCAATGGGTCCTCAACGCAGCGAGAAAATCACGCCTCGGAGGTGGTTCTTAGCTGGCCCCTAAATAAAATTGTGTACTAGTTCAGTGAAAATGGACGCCACACTAAACTCCAAAACATATAAATGAACTACAATTAAAAAACATACAAGACTAACAAAGGCCAGAGGCTCCTGACTTGGGACAGGCGCAAAAATGCGGCGGAGTTAAACATGTTTTGTGAGATCTCAACCCTCCCCCTATACCTCTAGCCAATGTAAAATAAAGAAACACATAGCAATACGCACAGTAAAACTCAGTTCAAAAGAAGTCCGAGTCCGATGTCAGAATAGGTAACAAAAGAAACTAAGCAAAATGACAATGATACATAAATGAACAAAGGACTACTAGCAGTTACTGACATGCCAGCTCCAGACCTCAATTAAACTGATTGAAAGATTATGTCTTCATCATATGAAAATCAAGTATAATCCCTCCCGTTAGGGGTTTAGTATCATACCATCATAAAATATATGAGAAGAACATAACCCGTATCATGCCAACAACTGGTTTTAGAATAAATGTGTTTATTTCCGATGCAAAGACCCTATGAGTGAATCAATATTAATATCAAAATATGCAATCCTTAATGACTTGACAACAGTATCGTAACTATATCCTTTCCGAATAAGTCTGTTTAAAGGTTTGGTTAGCTTTTGAGGTGAATGCCAAAATTTTTGTGCTTTGTAAAGAATATTACCATAAAATATTGGATGTGAAATACCTGAACGTATAAGATGTCTGCATGTTGATTTATATTTACGAATGATGTCCTTGTACCGATGATAAAATTTAGTAAATGTTTTGACTAGTTTGTGATATCGAAAACCCTGGTGTAATAATTTTTCAGTAATACAGAGATTTCTTTCGTTGAAATCAAATGCGTTGTTACATACACGAGCGAATCGAACAAGTTGAGATATATAAACACCATAAGATGGCGACAAGGCAACGTCACCATCTAAAAATGGATAATTAACAATAGGAAATGAAAAATCATCTCTTTTATCATAAATTTTGGTATTAAGCTTCCCGTTAAAGATAAAGATATCAAGATCCAGGAAAGAGCAGTGTTCATTGCTAGTATTAGCTTTATTTAAAGTCAGTTCGGCAGGATAAATCTCTTTAGTGTACATACTGATGTCGTCATTATTGAGAGCCAATATATCATCTAAATATCTAAAAGTGTTATTAAATTTTTGAATCAGATGTTGTTTCGATGGGTCTTTGCTGATTTTAGTCATAAATTGTAACTCATAACAATACAGAAACAGGTCCGCAATAAGTGGTGCACAGTTAGTCCCCATGGGAATTCCGATAACCTGACGATATACGGAATCTCCATAGCGAACAAAAATGTTATCTAGTAAAAATTCAAGGGCAGTTATAGTATCAAAGCAGGTCCAATTGACATAGTTCTTTTGTTTGTTGTTACTAAAAAAATGACCTAAAAGAGTTTGAACATATATATTCGCATTCCGACTTTTTAAATGCCCATTTAATCTGGTGTGTGAATTTTTCTTAATAAGATTATGAGGCAACGTGGTATATAGGGTAGAAAAATCAAAACTTTGAACAGATTCAAAATCACCAATATAAGCATGCAATTTATCAAGTACTTACTACATTACTAATGTATAAGGCAAAACATAGTTTAGCTCCAGAATATTTGTCGAGTCTTATTATATCCGCTTCTGCAAACCAAAAATACAATACGAGATTTTCATCATCTGATAATTTTATAATTCCAAAGCGAAATACTGAGAAGTATAAGTCTAGTTTCTCGTACAGTGGACCAACAGTTTGGAATGAAGAAAAAACTAAAAATCTATGTACTTTTAACATAACCATGATGTTTGTACTTTAATGCCATAGAATAATTGTTTATCAAATTTACATTGTATTGTATGTTTATTTATCATTATTATTGAATTTGTATTGTATTGTTTAATCATTAATGTAATTTCTATTGTATTAAGAGAGCGTTAATGGAAATGGGTGTAATCCAATGAGTTACTCTCTCTAAATAAAGATATTATTATTATTACTGCGTTTCGCACAACAATCTATTAAATAGATCAAGCGCAAATATACTCTTTTTTTAGAGTTGAATGCTTTTCTTATCGCTCTTTAGTAAAACATGTCCCTTTTGACTAAAATGCCACAAAACTAATCTTTAATTCAGATTAAGTTCACCAAACTTGATAATATAAACAAATCTTCAAATATACCAGACTTATAATTTGTTACGCCAGACACACGTTTCGTCTACATAAGACTCATCAGTGACGCTCGAACCAAATCGGTTGGAAGGCTATATCAAATACGAAGTTGTAGAGCATTAAAAACCAAAAATTGCGAAAAGTTGTGCCGATTGCGGCTATGACCATCTTTGACTGGGGTAGAAAAACCTTAGAGGTTCGAATAATTAAAAATTGGGTTAACAGAAAATTTATAGAAGTTGACGTTTCATTACTATTTCATGTAAACGCAGAAGTGCTGACTACTGTTTTGGTAATAAACTGGGGGACGAAACGTCCAACAACAGTGTCATCAACCAAATGGTTGTAAAGACTCATCAAAGTTATCAGGCTTATAATTTATAACATAGGCATATCATATGAAAATTCCATTTTTACGAAAAACGTGTATAGAAAATACCAAACCTACTGTTAAAAAGAAGGATAAAACACGAGACAAACATATATTTTTAAAAGGCCGTACGGTGACCTATAGTTGGCAGCTTCGACGTCATTTGGCGTCTGGTGGAGAATTGTCTCATTGGCAATGATGCCACATCTTATTTTTATGTGCATGTAGCGAACAATTAAAACATAAACTTTCAGCAAATTCCATGAGTGATATTTGATGTTCAGGAAGATTTTTTAAAATTTATATTGGGACTCGCCGTTCAATTTGTTCAATCGTTTGTTTTGTCTGAAGTGTTTGTTGGACCGTTGTTTTTTTTCTTTTTTTGCAAAAGTTGTCATCCTTTTTAACGTTTTGGCTTTGAATGTTCCCTTTCTTCCCTTTTTCGTGATGCCCGCTGGTCAACTTCACCGAATCCATATACCAGCCACATTGCTTTAAGTCTGACGAAACATAAACAATTCCACTCTATTTTTTAAATTTATTTACATATAATACGATAAAAAAAATCAACAAAATATATAACAATATACAATAAAACTGTATTATAATGTTTTTCTTATTTTGGAGGTAACAAAACCGTGTCAATAACATGGATGACGCCATTTGTGACGGGTATATTAGCCATGGTAACCTTGGCATCGTTTATCATCACACCACCTGAAAAATAAATGAAAGAAATAAATGGAAATTTTGAACAACTAACCATAAATTTAAAACAAATAAATTTTTACTAGACATCTCAGTTTTAAGCTCCAGGTCTGGAAAATGCTTAAGCTTGCAGTAACCTTAGGATTTGCAAGTTAAAAAGTATGGCGGAAAATATTGTCAAATTTTGGCAACTCAGATAACCATAATTATGAAGACAGTTTCTGTCTTTAATTAACAGTTACGCTGCGACATGAAAGATATTTCAAACAATATCCACTCAGTAGAATTGAAAGTAATTGAAAATTGATTTAAGTCCTCCAAAGTGCTTTGAAACAAACTATCAAACTTTGTGTGTATCAAAATGGAGAACTACTGTCCAACAATTCATTATATTGACACATTTCTTAAATAGAAATTACGTTCGGTAGACGTCCATGAGAAACAATCCTATGAAACACTGCCAAGGACCAAAATAAATACAAGGAATATTAATTTTATTGCTGTTTTGTACATGTTTAACTTATATTACCTGAACTAAGATCTACTTTTACTGATTTGCCCTCTACAGTTGGTACCATGCCATTTGATAGTCCGACACTGTAGACTGTTCCCTTAACAACATGGTACGTTAGCACCTCTACAACGTAAGATGTAATACATCACATTTTTGTCAACACATTGCATCTATTATTTCTACTGAAGTGTTAAATACACTTTTGAAAGACACAGTGTCCCTCCCACAGCCATTTATTCTCATTGGTATAATTGATAATTATAATCGCACTAAATAGCTTATAAGAACCAAACGAACTACCACTTGATTGAAATTTGTAACAATGTCTACAGATAAAAAAAATACATTATTCTCTCTCTTGATCTAAATATTCACGACATTTTCTAAATATACAAACAAAAACAAACAACAAAAACATTTGTTCATTTAGTTATTTGTGTTGTGTCTCATTGACGTTTACCATCAGTGGGAAAGCCACACGTCAGTTCTGCGCCTCCTTCCATATGACGTAACGGACAAGAATTCAAGGGCGACAATCGCGATTTTTACATAGACGGCGACAGTATCGCACCATCTCGGTAATTTGTTTACATCGTGTACGTTTGATTTTTCAAGAAATTTATTATTAAAGACAATTAAACTTGCATCATTTCATCATCAATTAGTTATATAGGTAAGTTTAACAGGTGACCATGCTATTTTTTCTTCTTAGGAGATTTTATTTTACAAGAAACAAACATCTGAAAATGGCAAGTGACGTTGTTGTTTTGGAAGATAAAAATATGGCGGGTGTTTTCCCCTTCTGAAAATAACTGACACATTTGCATCCTAATGGCTATTTAAATATAAAATGACCAAAAATAGTATCTATGATGATGGGAGTCCCTAAATATTTGCATAATTACCCATCACTCCGTGTCAAATTGCAACTGAGGCTGCGAAAGGGAAGCACATAAATCGACGCCATTTTTCAACAGATCCACATGAATAGTAGGTTTCTGTGCTCACAAAATCCTAGTAATATTCTTTTAATGGTTAGTAGAAAGATATGAACAATATCCATAACAAAATTTTATTGATCAGATCGGTTTATGCCAAATTATGGCTATATATTTGCCCCTTTTTCGATGCTGAAATTTCCACAGACCACATGTAAATAAACGCCCCTTTCCCAGCGTTAGACTCCAATTTTAAATAAAACTTTAATTTTGGCCTGTCAATGATAGCATTTATATTTTAGTTTAATTATTACGGTTGTGTAAAGCATTTGTGATCATTTGTTTGATTCTCTCGAATAGTAAAAAGGTTAGTTCAATGAGTGTGTGACAAAAAAAAATAACAACAGAATAGAGTACTATGGCTAAAAGTATAAAGAATAGAGAAAAATTGACTAAAAAATATAAGTAATAGAGAATAATGTTGTGCTAATTTATTGAGAAAAGAGAATGATGGGCAAAAAGTATAAAGAATAGAGACAAATGACCTTAAAGATTTAATAATATAGAAATGGAGGACACCCCATCCAGACCCTTGTTTATGTGAACAACAGTACCATTTTTTTGTTAAATAATGCATATATGGTCATGAAAAATATTTTGAACAGATTTCAGGTATATGAAATATTAATCAGGAGGAAAGTATCAGTTCTGCCTCTCCTTCCATGCTAAAAAAACACACAAATTATATGTGATTAATTGTTGATTTTTAACGCCACAGTATTGGCAAGGTATGTGTTGTGGCCAGGTTTTATTGGTGGTGGATGCCTGATTGCTCATATACTTTATAGTACAGCCCGAAGAATGCCCTCAGATTTGAGGGAATCTCAAATTTCACAACTGATTAGCTTCACAGTTTGAAGTCCTTGTAATTTATATATCACTCTTCCCAATAAACCATGGAAGTATTATATTGACATGAATAAACTGACCACAGATGTTATACATAGGTTATCTGATAAGAAAGTCAACATTTCGCCATTTTCTGTCTTTACTTGAAATATAGATATAAATATTCTTCATAAGATTTTGACAATCTAGTCAGTGTTTTTTTTCATTAATCATGTTCAGATACAGTTAAAGGAATGTAATATGAAGTTATGATTTTTTTTTTATTAATTTTCCATTTTTTTTAAATTTAGAATAGACCCATAATCTGTTGTCATTTTGAAGATTAATTTTCATTAGAAATGAATATTCTTTGTAATTTTCACATTTATTTTGATAAAATGTCATTTAATGATAAAAGGAAATTTCCTAAATATTTAAAAGAAATTCTTAATAGAATATCCATCAGGCAAAGACAATTTGGAAAAAGAACCCTCCTTTTTATACGCCCGTTTATGAGAGGTACAAATGTATTATGGTATACCGTTGTCCATCCGTCTGTCTGTCCGTCCGTCATAGATAACCACAGACCTTTGATTACAGCAATCCTAGTTCAGATAACTTGCACAAGGAGAGTTTGAATTCTCAACCTGAATACAGACTTACTTGTGCATTTACTTTATATTGTTGCTCTCATACTGATATTTTGTTTGTAATTATGACGTTTACTTACATTTAATATCATAAAATATATATTAATATCTATTAAACAGATTGATATGTTATTATAGTGATGAATTTAACTTTAACATGTTAAGATACTGAAGTAAATGAATAAATAAATAGAAATATTTCTTTGAACATATGTTGCTGTATATGATTTTGACCTTTTCTTATCAGACATATCATATAAAGTCATTAAAATAAATTATTTATTTACATCAAAAGTCTAAATTTTTTTGTTTTTTTTATTGAAGCTTATATACATACTTTTGATTATTTAAGATTAAAATAAGAATAATTTCAATTTCAAAAAAATAATAACAAATATCTAAAAACAAACTTAAGTATACCGGTATACATTATGGGATTTTCTCATGATTGAAGGCTTTAGTGTAGCATAAAATTGCTTATATCCACTCCATTTGATTTTTTGGGGATAGTTGTCTCATTGGCAATTATTTCACATCTGATTAGTTTTACATTAGTGAAATTAGAAACATTCAATTTAAATTAAAACTTGGACCACATAAGAATCAGTAGACAATTAAAATGTAAATTATAATTTCATATGACAACTCTAGAGAAGTTGGGAAATTATTTTCATTTAATATCATATGCATAAATTATATATTTACAGATACATGTAACAATAGAAATAAGGAATAAAGAAGAGCAGGAAACATTTCCATTTTGAGGATTTGTGGAACAGAGGACTTTTTGACTTGTTTTTACTTTAACTTGGACTTTTTAACAATAATTATGCTTCTTAAATTTAAAACTTTATTGTTATGTGTTTGTTTTTTTTTTTTTAACTTTCAAAGTATTTAAGTTGCATTAAATTTTGTTTATTTGATTGAAGCTTATTTACTTATAATTATTTAAGATATTATTTACATATGTTTCATTTTAACATTATTTTTATGCATTTGTATTTATTTATCTTTTAATAAACTTTTTTTTTCTTAACATTTTTATATTTTTATATATACAAAGTGAAACACCATAATCATTTTATATTGATGACATGGGGTAGATGTACATGAGACAATGCTGCTGCTGCAATACAATAAAACATTCATAGATGCAAAGCAAGCACATTAGCCATATGCATGTATGTACTGTAGTATTTGAGACATAAAAAAATATCAAAGATTTAAAAGGTCTACTTTAATGATTTATTAGGTGTGAAGGACTTAAATGGAGTGGTTTTAGAATCATTCACTTCTCCCAGAGGTATCTTTGATGTCTCTCTAGTGGCCTCTCATGACATGACTTTTCACTGTTATATGCTTCCAGGGAGATTTTGAAGTGTGGTGACCCTAGCACCTAAATAAACATTTTCAGCAGATACATATCTCTGTTTTCAGACTATTTGATGAAAAGTTTAAACTAATGTTCAAATTAGAAAAATGAAAAGTGAGCAACTTGAACCCACAAAATACAGATGATCTCAGGTGCTCTGGAAGAGTAAGCAGATCCTGCTCCATGTGTAGTATTTAGAATGAGATGCCTAGGTGCCCTTTTCCTATATGTAATCACATGATTTTGCAAATTATTGTGTGCTTTTATTATTGCAAATTTGAAGAATGGAATAAAATGTGTAAAAAGTATTGCTTTTGCAGAAAAATCAGCACACAGATATAGGAATGGTATATATATGTATCTGATTTAAGTATAGATCCTGTGTCCAAGCTTTGTTTTCTGGTAATAAGCTTGGACATAGGATTTGCATTTTAATCAGATTAAAAGGTATCAGAATGCAATTTATTATTTAGATACTCACCCACTCACATTATTGCAGTAATAAAAACTTTGCTATCCTTTCTGAATTTACAGTAACAAAAATTTCCATCATATAGACCTCGAAAAAGATTAGTGTGAAATTAAAGTTGTGGGTCGAAAAATTAATATCAACGCAACAAAACAGGATCACCAAAAATCAGAGTGAGACATTCATATGCCATCTTCAAAGCAGACCTCAGAAGCAATATAGCTTTTTTTAATGCTCTTAATGGTCATATAGCTCTCACTTGTATTAAGACTTGTATCTACTAGGCATTGAGCATACCTGTTGAAGGTTAATCCAGGAAAGCCCTTGGATGCATTCAATTTAAAATATTTTTTTTTCATTTTCAATGAAGGAATAGTGTAATTAATGAATGCTATATTTGAAAAATACCATTGTTAATGTTAATTTCTTCAGCAGCAGCATATCTGGGTTGAACTATTTTTTTTGGGAAAAGTTGTTTTTAAAAGAAACCCATATTGACATGATTGACAATTGATAGATGATGATAATTATAGGTAACAGTTTTAGCCTTCAACAATTTGCAAACCAATTTGTCAAGTGTAAAGGACCTTATAAAACAGCATGTGATAAAAAATCTAAATCCAGAACTAATGATGAAATAAATACAGCTACTATATATATATGGAAGAAAAACAAATTTGATGAATGGCCACTAAACTTTTTCAAAACATTTCTTTAAGAACATGCACACACTTTTAAAACACAATGACAAATATTTGTTACCAGGGCCCAGACACACTTAAACATGAATGGTTAGTGTACAACAGGTTCCTTGATAAGGACAGGCAAAATACAAATGTTTGTGTGTTAACTTCCCACTTGCATAGTAGTTTTATTTATACAATAAGAACAAAGACTAAAAATCAAGTGAAAATTATTGACTCATCAGATTTTCATGTCACAGTGGCAGGCAGGCAATATTTGTTGATTGATACTTTTAATATTTTTAAAATTTACAAGTTGACACATTTCAGGTAAATATTTACAGAAACAAAGAATGACTGTAATCATTAGACTTAAAAAAATGGCTTAAAACAGACATTAGCTGAGTGTTTACACTTTGCATTTTTGCAAGCTTTTCATTCAGACAATATTTTTTGCCCAACTGAAATTTCTTGAAAGTGGGAAAAGGGGGGGGGGGGGCTTCCAGACAACTGAAGTCATTTATATGGAAAAATTCAATCATAGAATAAACCAGTTTCAATGTACTACATAAATCTGTTATACACTGCAGCATTATTAAACAAATAATTAAATGAATGCAGAAAATTATTGAAACAAGGAGTCTGAGCAACATGAAAAAAATCAACAAATGACGGAGTAAAGCCTTCAACCTATCAACATTTTTATGTAAAACATTAAAAATCCAGGAAACATCATCACACTTCATTGTCTGAATCAATTTCGTGGTTAAAAACTGGTAAAAATTGACATCATTTGCTCCATTTTGCAATGAAATAACTCCAAAAACGTTAGAAAATGTTGAATTTTTACCTCCGGTTGAGGTATTTATTATGTAAACAAGACTCGAAGTGACGGGGTATTCTTTACATAGTCATGTGCCCATGTGTTTCTGGGTCACATTTATTTATATCTCAACCAATGAAAAGCTTTAGGATGCAATTGTGTCAGTTATTTTCAGAAGGGGGTATTACCCGCGGTTTTTTGGAAACCAACGGAGGTAGTCTTTTGATTTATCACATTTCAATAACGAAGCACTTATTTTAATATATTTTTGGCAGTCGTGTGACAAAATCTATTCTGATGAAGATTAAACCGCAAATACTGTTGGATGATAAGTCGTTTTGATAAATTTATTGTCTGAATCATATGCTACGTTTTTGTTTACACGCTGATTACAGCGCCACCTCGAAATTTTTAGATTATGTCCCCTTTCCCGCGTGACCACCGGAAAGAACTCTTCAATGTCACTGGCTTTCCCACATGCGAACTCAAGATATTGAATCTTAGAATTAATCACCATCACAAATATTGTTTGAAAAGCAATGATATTACAGATATTGATTCTTTATACCAAGCACGTCTGATGTATATTATTATTGTCTGTCAAAAAGCAGTTTAACTAAGGATACGGAAATTGTTACACATTAAAGTTTTATAAGTCTTACCGATGAGAGCTGTCTGGTTCTGTAGAAGTTTGTTTATTGCATCTGGTGGGAGTTTGTTAAATGCTTCATTTGTTGGTGCAAACAGAGTAAATGGGCCGCCTACAAAACACACATTTTTGTTACTGTCAAGTAAAAATCTGGAGAACTATTTAGCACTGGAATTTAGTATTAACCCCTTTTTCCTAAAAATAGGCAGCCGGTGTTAAAAGCGTAAATCCCTACTTTTATCTTGGAAAATCATTATGTATATATTTGTCAAATAAAGGTGAAAAACATTATTGTATAACTTGATAAAACAACTATCACTGGAGTTCGGTATCATTTAAGAAATAAAATGATGAACAAACACTTCACATGGTAAAAAAATGTCCGAAAGAATAATAATTTATACTTAACTTGCATTAAAAGAACAATAGTGACAATCTAACATTTTCAGTGTCATACATTGCCTGTTATTTTTTACAGAAAAATAATAAACTCTTGCATGTTTTGGGTTTGGGTTTGGGTTTGAGTTTTGTTTTTTAATTTATCTTTCACAATTAACCATATCGTGAGGGCCATTGATCTACTTTGTACTGTGCAAATGTTGACATATTGCACGTCTGTTTTATGGGAAGCTTTCTTTTAAGAATGAAATCTCCTTACTTTTTGTTTTGTCATTTCCTTATAATGGTGTCATTTCATAAAGAAAAGACTTGCATTTCAAACACAGAAACATTGGAACATTTGTATTTGATTGACTACAGCTGCTGCGTATAAATCCCTTTCCTTTAATTGGATATACGTTATTACAAAATGATAGTTTCATTTATTCTACCTGATAATGTTGCACCAAGTTTCGCTCTAACTACTGCGTATACAAGACTCGAAAAATCTTTTTGACTTGCAGCAAACTGTACGATATTTTGAGTTGGGATCTCTGCAAGTACTTCGTCAATTACATGGATGACGCCATTTGTTGCATTTTGGTCAGCCATTATTACCTTGCTCCCATCTACAGCTACAGTCTGAAGTTTTATAAAAATGTATAACGTTATTGCTATTTTACAAAAAAAGTATGAAGATACCGAATGTTACTGGGTTCTTATTTTTGTTGAATCTTTTTTGTCTATTCGTCTTGTTTGTTTCTGCCATTCTGTTTTACCTTATGATTTAAATCGCCCCTGTGGTGTCGTCTTACTTTTGCTAGTACCTAATGATCTTTTATTTGAAGTTGGTCATTGTGTATGTGTGTGTACGTGTGTCTGTTTGTTGACATGCATATATGTGCATATATATAATTGCTGTCACGGCCTATTCGCAAACATATTTTTGTTGTTCTAAACATATCAAAAGCTCGTATTGTTTTGTATTTTTATGAAAATTCAATGACCGTGATACCGTTTATGTAAATTCTACTAAGAGAGAATAAATAAAACAGAATATATGCTAGTATTTAAATAACGGGATGAGGTATGATTGTCAAGGAGACAACTATTCATAAAGGCCAAAAGACAAAGACGGAACAATTACATGTCATCGTACCGTCCTCAACCATGAGCAATACCCATGCCGTAAGTGTTATTGCTATACATGTAAGAGGACTCGGTTTTACATAATATGAAACAACTCAAAAGAGAAAACGAACAACCTTAAAAATACTACAACAATGGAGGGAAAAAAATGGCAGACACCAACCAACTACAACAAATGGATTACAGGTTCAGGTTAATGGCTTGGGACAAACACATAAAAAATAGGGTGGAGTGTAACATGTTTGTGAGCTTACAGCCCTCCCCTAACCTGGGGCAGTGGTGTAACAACACAACATAAGAACTGTGAAAATCAGTAGGAAAGAGCTTGACTCACCACATCGGTACTAAACACAAATAACAAAAAGAACAAATACATTAAGCAAGTACCGATTAATGTATACTAGCAGGTTATGCATTTCTTGTATAGATATTAAGAAGATGGAAAATGTTTGAAAGCAACAAATTTACCTGTCCGTAAATGTTAATTCTAACTTTTGCACCATTAAGCGTGGCTGCTGTCATATCATTGGTTAATTGACTTGAGTAAACTTTACCGCTTAAAACATGGAACAGCAGTACAGACTTCAGCAGTTGTTTGTCATTCATTAATTTATTTAAAACATCTGGAGGTAAAGCTGCAAAGGCTGCATCAGTGGGCCCAAATACCGTAAATGGACCTGTGATATAGAAAACAGCTATACATAAATAAACGATAGTTACTTTTGTGTACCAAAATTACCTGAAATTTTGACTTATGAATCTGGGTTTTTACCATCTCGTTTGTTCTGGCTGTTCCTGTATTGAAATTCAATATTAGACTTACGAAATAATTATTATTACCAGATCAAATGCCTTGTAAGTTTTTATTTTGTCGTACTATTCGTGCTGCTTCAATGGTAGCTGAACGTAACAATCATTTATAATAAAACGAAAACCTAATATCAGAATATAACCACTAAGGAATGAAAGTAGTATACCGAATTCAATAAAAAAAAATTATCACAAGTCAATGTATACTAGTAAACAGAACAAACTACATAGTCACAATTATAGGCGATGTGTGTCTACTGCTAGACTTACACCACACGTCATACGAATTCTTCTTCAGTAGCAAATAAAGGAGAATATTTTGGAGTTGTTTTAGAGTTCAAAGCACATCTCCGTCTATTTGTGAAATTTTTATAAGGACATGTACTGGCATATTACTTCCACCGAGACACCCAACACAATGAGCCAGTACTACTCACAGATAAAAGTAAAACGTATACAAATAATTAAGATATTTGATAAATTTTGACTGCAAGATTGTTTCTTCTTTGATTTTCTTTAAAAATTGAAAGAAAACATGAAATCTAACCTTGACCGGACAAAGTATCAGCAAGCCCTGCATCTGTGACTAATTTTACAAGAGTTTTAGCCCCAAGTTTTTCTGCAAGTTCTGGTATCGTCTGTGCATTGGATAGCACAAAACAGACCACTAACAAGATCAGTTTCATGGTGCCAGTTATTTAATTATTCAACGTTAATAATCTCACTTGATTTGTTATTCCTTTTATTCCTTTTATATCCAAAATTTCACGTTTCCATTCAGGCGACATGGTTTCTGCTGATAACAGAAACTATTGTATAATGTTGCGTTAGTAATACACGTGACACGAAGTTTGACAGCATAGTTTAGACGTATTTTTGGCAAGGGTAATCTCATATTAGAAATTAAGTCAAGTTAGTCCTTATACGAAGTTGGGCACTCTTTGGTTCTGATGCCCTTAAATACTTTATTTATCTGGATTCTCCAACTTTTGAATTTGAGCGTACCTTATGAAGGATGTATATCTATTTATTGAAATTTGCTGTTATAAAATTTTGATAGTCATTTTAGATTAAGGAATGTATCTCCATCGTATATATCTCTGATTTCTTATCCGTGTTTGCTTTTACTTTTACTTTTTGTCCTTTTTAGTTTTATCAGCTCTTCAATATTTGTATTAGGATTTGGAATTTCATATATTTTGACCTCGAACATTAATGAAGAGACGTGTGCGAAATGTGCATTCATCTGAAGCAGCAAATTGGTACCGTTAATGTTGTTTTTCCAGATAAATGTGTTGTGTGCCCTGAAGCTAGTATCACAGCACTAATATTACCGCTATTACTTCTAGTAAATAAGTATTGATATGATATATAGTAAAACTTTGCATTGAACCTAGAGAGGAAAGACTGCTTAAGGTTTTTAGGATTAAACAAAAAAAAAAGTGCCCATGATTTAGAAAATTGCCAATTAAAATGGAAATGATGTATAAAGAAATGCAATATCTTCTTTTCCTCAGTTTTTTTAGCCTTAAATACTACTATAAAACAATTGAAAATAAACTCTTTTGACTTTGATTATAGCAAGCATAGGTAGCAAAAACAAATGCATTACAAACAATCTCAGCTTATTCAGCAACATGTGTTGAGAAAAAATGTAAAAAAATGTTTTTTAAAATAACGTGTACAGGGGGCAGACTAATTTGAATTATTTTCTTACGTGTTCAGATCGTTTACAAGCTTGAAGTTTATATTGTTTGTAATAAAGGCTTACTATTTCATGTTATATGTTAAATATATCTCTTAACATCATGCATTACCCACTACTACATCAGGTATACAGTTTATTGACTTATATGTGTTAAACAAGCACACTCATACTCAAATTTTTGTTATTGATAAATTTGGCAACCTACATTGACTTTTAAACAACTTTAACATATCAAGTATTTTTGAATATAACCCGAAGAATAATAACTATGTATATTAATGTGAGAAATACAAGAAACATGTGTTGATCGATTCACATAGCAATAATAATATCCTCCAATGGTTAACAATCATTACATCTATATAATCTGAGAATCATGCCAATTCAGGAATACTTAAACACAGGTTTCATAATCACTTACTAGACAAAACGGAACACATGTATGATCTCTTATCATATTTTGGCTGGTTTGATTCCGTTGTTTTGTAATTTTATTTCATTTCCATTGGGTTGGTGCCACTTCTAGTGAACCCCGCTTTCCCTAAGTTACCTGTTAGTCACTGCTTTTAAATTATTTTTTTCGGGATTTAGATTAGAGTGGATCAGTTAATAAGAAAATTTGAAGATATATTGAGTGTAAGGGATACTCCCATATGCACATCTGTTCTTTATTTGGTTTGTTGTCCCTTTGTTCGCATTTAGGATTATAGCTCTTGAATGTGTAATTCTTTAGGATTTTCAATATTTGATTTCCACACCATAAATAATTTCTCAAAATGTTCATACGGTTCAACGTTCAACAGATAGATTTTTGTATATTTGAATTATGTTACTACCACTAAGACCGTGACATAGTTGATAGAATGCAAGTCCCTTATGGTATCATAAGCCCGGTTATGGTTTCGATCATGACTGAAGAATAATTAATTGATAGCTTCAGAATAGAGTTCTTTACAGTATAAAGTCCTAACCTTACAAAATGCCAATCAGATGATACAAGACATATTTAACCTTTTTCACGAGCGTACATGATAAACTTTATTCCAGTGTTGTGCGTATGGAAATAATATCATCTGTTCTTTTTTTTTTTAAATATATTTTCCGACAAACACAGATGAGTATATGATTATCTTACGAACACATGTTGTTCTCATCAGTTTATTAACCTACTATAGAGGCAATCAAACCATGTCATAAATCCCACGTGGTCTCTGTCAACTTTTATTACCTTGGTCTCAATTCATTTGAAGTTCTTAATCAACATTACCTCGTCTCTTTTTGCTTGAACTTATTATGGTTCTACTTACTTGGGTAAAATGTCTTTATTCTAGTGTTCATACAACTCGAATACTTTTACTGGTTTGTGATAATGGTTATCTATTTCAAACCTTCTTTTTTACCTTTCAAATAATTTATCTATTATTGCCTGGTTTTACTGATAACTGCGAGTATTTCTGATGAATGTTAATCCATATATATTATTTCACGCAGCAAAATCAAAGCGTTTTACACTGAATCACTGTTTTAATATATTGGTAATTGTCTCGTTATTTCGGATTTTAACACGACATTGTCTATTCTCATTCGATGGTTTGCTATTCTATATATCATCACATTTTCCAATGCCTGTTCCCGTATATATGTGAATATGTCTAGACATATTTTTTTGCAACTTGCAGAATATGTAAAATACGAACCAATAAATAAAAGTTTTAATTATCTTACATATGTCGTTATGCAGTCTGTATTTTTTTTTTATCTGTGATGGTGATTTATAAGGTTGTTTTAATTGAATGTTCAAATTTTCAATCATATATTCACGCCTTATGTGAAAAAAAACAATCAATTATTCAGATTCAACATATTTTAAAAATATTCTATTCATTAAAATAAAAAAAAGTAGCTCCTTTACTTATTTTAAAAAGCGAGACACGCCCAATAATTCGAAAGACCGGACGTGACACTCGGTTGTTCAAATATCTCATTTCAAAGTTCAGATTTCTAACATCCGACTTGATATTTCTCAGTTCTAGCTTAAATTTTTCTTCCAACTTCATATTCCCCATTTCCATATGCGTATGAGGGACATTATATTATTTTTTATTTTTCAAAATGTCGCCTTTATTCTTGGAATTTCAAACTCTAATCTCTGAATTATCGACTTTAATCCTTAAATAATCAACTTTGCACTTGATATTATTATTCTAATCTTAATATTATTAACTTAAATCATTTATTTATTGGAATTTCACTTAGCAGTCATATGATTTCGGAAACAGTTTATTAGGAGAAATACTATAGAAACTTTAGATTTCAAAAACTGTGCGATTTAAATTTTGGTAAATTACCTAGAAGTCTCAAAGACCATTATTTTTTTTTAATTTCACATGGCTACCAAATTTTTTTTTGTAAAACACTTTCTATAAATAGAAATATTGTTAACTATTGGATTAAATAATTATGGGATAATGGATGGGTGCACATATTACTGTCATTACTGCCAACAGCTTCTAGTTTATATAGTTTATATTATAAACATTGTACTGATAGTAATTTTTTCAGGATTTATTGTTTCCAAAATCATATGTTACTACTCATAATTTTTTTTAAAAAACCAAACAAGTTAATGGTCTTTGAATCTTCCAGGATATTTGCCAAAATAAGAATTGTATGTTTTCTAAATGAAACAAACTTCCAAATTAAAGTTGAAAGTTCCGAGATTAACGATGACAATAGCAAAACAAAATTAAAGTTTCGAAATAAAAGTAAACATTTAGAAAAAAAATAAATAATAATGTTTCTCTAATTCGCTTCCGTAGCGTACACATCTTTTGGGGTATATAAATAATTGGCAAGTCTCATTGGCAATCATGTCACGTATCCTTATTATTTTAATATTCGGAGAAATAGACCAGTTTTCTCAACTTTGCCTTAGGAATTTAAATATATATATAATATTTTGGAAGAAATATTTGTTAAACTTAACAGTTTACCGATGAATTGGCTTATAATTTGTTACGCTAGTCGCGCGTTTTGTCTACATAGAACTCATCACTGGCGCTTGAAACAAATCAGTTGGAAGGCTATATCAAATACGAAGTTGCAGAGCATAGAAAACTAAAAATAGAAGTTGACCGTATCATTGGTATTACATGTTAACACAGAAGTGCTGACTACTAGGCTGGAAATAAAATCATGGACGAAACGTCCACCAACAGTGACATCGACCAATTGGTTGTAAAAACTCATCAAAGTAACCAGGCTTATAATTTATAACATATGCATATCATATGAGCATTCCATTTTTACGAATAACGTGCATAGAAAGTATCAAACCAAACGTGTTAAATAGAGGGATAAGACACGAGACAAATCAACAACAAAGAGACATATCAGTTTGCCTTCCTGCTGTTTTGATTCGAGCGCCACTGATGAGACTTATTTAGATGAAACCTGTGTTCTAAATTAGAAGCCTGGTATCGTTGATGATTTTATTTTATCCAGAGTCTAACAAGAAAACAAACCTACATTGTTGAAGGCTGTACGGTGACCTTAAGTTGCTACTACCTCATTTGGTCTCTGGTGGAGAGTTGTCTCATAGACGATCATGCCACATCTTTTTTTTTATATTCATTCAGCGAACAATTAAAACATGAACTTTAGGCAAATTCTATGAGTGATATTCTGTGTTCAGCGAGGAAGAGTATGTATAGTTCGCTACGCTTGAGACTCGGTTAATTAAAGTGGTTCAGTCTTAAATGTTCTGTGTAGTGTTTAGTGTTTATTGGACTGTTCGGTTTTATTTCTTTTTTTGTTTTGTTTTTGGCATAAGTTTTGTCATCCCTTTTAACCTTTTTGTCTTCGAATGCCCACTTCGATTCTTCGTCCCTATTTCGTGATGCCCATTGGTCAACTCCACCGAGTCTATATACCAGCCTCATTGCTTTAAGTCTGACGAAACATTAACAATTTTACTCAAGTTTTAAAATATATTTACATATAAAATCAACAAAATATATAACAATATACACTAGAACTGTATTTACAATAACATTATAATGTTTTTCTTATTTTGGAGGCAACAAAACTGTGTCAATAACATGGATGACGCCATTTGTGACGGGTATATCGGCCATGGTAACCTTGGCATCGTTGACCACCACACCACCTGAAAAAGAAATAAAAGAAATAAATGGAAATTTTGAATAAATTATTATAAATTATAAAACAAATCAACTTTTACTAGACATCTCATTTTTTAGCTCCAACTCTGGAAAAAGCTTATTATGATTTGTAAGTTAAAATAGATGGCGGAAACTATTGTCAATTTTTGCAACTAAGATAACCATATGAAGACAGTTTCTGTCTTTAATTAGCAGTTACACTGCGATATGAAAGTTGTTTCAAACAATATCCACCTAGTAAAATTGTAAGTAATAAAAATTGATTTAAGTCCTCTTAAGTGCTTTCAAACAAACTATCAAACTTTGTTTGTATCAACATGGAGAACTACTGTCCAACAATTCATTAAATTGACACAGTTCTTAAATAGAAATTACGTTCGGTAGATGTCCATGAGAAACAACCTTATGAAACACTGTCAAGGACCATAAAATATTCCTAGGAATATTCATTGCATTGCTGTTTTATACATTTGTAACTTATATTACCTGAACAAAGATCTACTTTTACTGATTTGCCCTCTACAGTTGGTACCATTCCGTTTGATAGTTCGACACTGTAGACTGTTCCCTTAACAACATGGTACGTTAGCACCTCTACAACGTAAGATGTAATACATTTGTCAACACATTGCACTTATTATTTCTACTGAAGTGTTAAATATACTTTTGAACGACACAGGCAGTGTCACAATGCCTACCGATAATCAAATGCAATATTCTCTCTAGATCTAGATAGTCACGACATTTTCTAAATATGCCAAAAAAAGGTTATTTTTTTATTTGGTTGTTTGGGTGCTGTCTCGTTGACGATAACAGCCGATGTTAAAAGCGAACATCCATATTTTTATCTTGTATCTGTCAAACAAAGGTGAAAATATTATTGTAGAAAATGATAGAACAAGTAACTATCACCGGAGAAATAAAATGATGAAAAACAATTTACAAGGGATAAATAAAATGTCCGAAAGAATGATATACTGAACTTGTATTAAAAGAGCAATTGCTATAGCCAGTCATTTTTTTTAGAAAAAAAAACTCTAACACGTCTGGATTTGGGTTTGGGATTTTAACTTATCTTTCACAACTAACCACATTGGGAAGGCCGTTGTTCTATTTTGCATTGTGCAAATGTTGACATATTTCCACGTTTGTTTTATTGGAAGCTTTCTTTTAAGAATGAAACTCTATCTCAATACTTTTTCTTTTATCATTTCCCTATAAATGGTGGCAAATCAACAACAAAAGAATTGAATATCAAACACAGAAACATTGGAACATTTTATTTGATTAAATGCGTCTAAAATACTTTCCTTTAGATATACTTTATTATAAATGGACACTTTCATTTATTTCACCTGATAATGTTGCTCCAAGTTTAGCACTAACTACTGCGAATACAAGACTCGAAAAATCTTTTTGACTTGCAGCAAACTGTACGATATTTTGAGTTGGGATCTCTGTAAGTACTTTGTCAATTAAATGGATAACGCCATTTGTTGCATTTTGGTCATGTAGAAAATTGATGGATTAAACCTAGTTTTATAGCTAGTTAAACTTCTCACTTGTATGATTTGATTTGATTGGATTTGATTATTTGGTGTTTAACACCACTTTCAACACTAATGTGCTATTTCGTGGCGGTCAGTTTTTATAGGTGGAGGAAGCCCTCAATTTTAGAACTCATTCATACATTTTTGTATTATTCAAAGTTATCAGTAAATTATGTGTTCTACAAGGATCACCAGTCCTTCACCTTTCATTTGATACCTTAATTACTAAAATATATGCTATATAGTTTTAGATTTACACCTATGACTAGGAACTATTTTGTTTTAAATCTGTACTACTTTCCAGTATGTTCTTTTTTTACCGGGCCCGATTCGGTGGTGTTACATCTTACAAAGTCTATCCAAATTAATATTTGCAAAGAATTCCGCTCAAGCCGGTGATAGGGGCCGTCTTAAACTTGCAGTGAGGTGAGAGTTTTTTTGCTCGTTGTTGAAGGCCTCCCTGTGACTTTGAGATAAAGAACAGCAATAAAAGCGCTGTTCCTTTGCTTATTGTGTGTTTTTTGCTGTGCATGTACTGATTTTGTATCGTGGATGGATACATTATATCATTTGTTTTTCTATTATGTAGACACTCTATAGACAAAGCATATAAGCAAACATGAAAGACAAGAATACAAAATAAAATGACCATAGCACAATAACACAATGGCGGGATGTATAAATACCGAGCCACGCCAAAAAGGATATTACCAAAAATGGACTAAACTGTAAAGGTTACAAAAATACAAAGACAAATAAAAAGAACACGATAACACGCGTTATAAAGAACGGTTATAAATAAGTAAACGATAGTTGCATTTGTGTAGCAAAAAATTACATGAAACTTGCCGCATAAATCTGGGTTTTGTACCATTTTGCTTGCTCTGGCCGTTCCTATATTGAGATTCAAAATTAGACTTAAGAAATATTTATTATTACAAGATCAAATGCCTTGTACATTTTTATTTGTTCGTACTACACGTGTTGTTTCAATGGTAATTGAACGTTACGATCATTTATAATAAAACAAAAACATAATATCAGAATATAACCACTGAGAAATGAAAGTAGTATACCGATTTCAATAAAAAAAAAATATCACAAGTCAATGTATATTAGTAAACAAAACAAACTTCACAGTCACAATTATATGCGATGTGTGTGAACAAGTTGAAGTCTGCTGCTGGACTTACATCAAACGCCATACGAATTCTTATTCAGTAGCAAATGAAGGAGGATATTTAGTTGTTTTTGAGTTCAAATCATCTCTTTATTTGTGAAATGTTTAATATGATAAGAACATGAACCTGGGATATTGCTTCCACCGAGACACCCAACACCATGAGCTAGGACTACTCAAAAATAAAAGTAAAACGCATACGAATAATCTAAATATTGTCTGCAGGATTGTTTCTTCTTAAAATTTCCTTACAGATTAAAACAAAACATGAAAACTAACCTTGACCGGACAAAGTATCAGCAAACCCTGCATCTTTGACTAATTTTATAAGAGTTTTAGCTCCAGGTTTTTCTGCAAGTTCTGGTATCGTCTGTGCATTGGATAGCATAAAACAGACCAATAACAAGATCAGTTTCATGGTGCCAGTTATTTAATTATTTAACGTTAATAATCTCACTTGATTTGTTATTCCTTTTCTATACAAAATTTAACGTTTCAAGTTTCTGCTGATAAAAGAAACAATTGAATAATGTTGCTTTAGTAATACACGCGACAAGAAGTTTGACACAATATTTAGACGTAATTTTGGTTATGGCAATCAAATATTAGGAATTAAGTCGAGATTCCTCTGTCAAGAACTTGTACTTAACCTAAGGTTGCAAATCCCTGAGTCAAGTTTGTCCTTATACAAGGTTAGGCACTATTTGGTTATGATGCCCTTAAATACTTTATTTGTCTGGCTTCGCGAACTTTTGAGATTATAAGGTACTTATAAAGGATGTATTTATTTATTGAAATTTGCTGTTGTAAAATTTGGTAATCATTTTAGATTAAGGAATTTATAACCCTCATGCATAGCTCTGATTTCTATTCCGGGTTCGGCTTTACTGTTTGTCCTTTTTAGCTCACCGTTCCAAAATTGTCAGTTGACCCCTTAAGGAGTTATTGTCTTTTAAAGACAATTTTTCACAATTTGTTTGTCCTTTTTAGCTCACCGTTCCAAAATTGTCAGTTGACCCCTTAAGGAGTTAATGTCTTTTAAAGACAATTTTTCACAATTTGTTCATCTAATCTAGTTTGCTTACTTTAAACAATCTTCTCCTTTGAAACTGCTGAATCTATTTCAGCCAAACTTGGGCTGAATGAGTTTCAGAGTATCTTGTATAAATTTTGTATTTTATTTCCTTTTACGTCAAAAAACATAGCCACTATGGCTAAAATGGAACATTTGGGTAAAATGTATTTTTTTGCTTTTGTAGAAAATATGACAGATACAAAGAACATTTAAATGGCATTTTTAAGCCACTCATTAATATATATTGAAAAGCAAAAATAATCATTGATGAACGATTTAAGCAAAACATTACAGGTGAGCGATTCAGGCTCTTGAGAGCCTCTTGTTAGTTTTATCAGCTCTTCTGTGTTTGTATTAGGTTTTGGGATTTCAAATATTTTTACCTCGAATAATAATGTAGAGACATTTTAAATTTTTCGAAATGTGCATTCATCTGAAACAGTAAATTGGTAACGTTAATGTTGTTATTCCAAACAAATGTGAGGTGTGTATTGAAGTTAGTATCACAGCGCAAGTATTACCTGTATTACGAAGATTGCGGCTTTTCGGGTGACTTAAAATCTAGGCCGGATTTGGCTTGTTTAAATATTACACATTGACGGTTTGGTTAATAAAAGTGCTAAGAAATGGGTGTTTTCGAATTGACCCTGTTATTTGTCCTCAGTCAGTAATAATGGCCTCGGAGGCTGTAGTGTCCCTCGGCTTTGTATCGTGTCATTACAGGCATCCTGGATCATTATAACAGACCTTGGAATATAACAGGGCCATTATAAACACCCATTGATTAATACTATAATAAAAAGTGGATTCCATTACTTGAGAGAAAATCCATAAAAACGAATTGCATTTCTGTTATTAAGGTTATATATAAACTTTCAGTCTCAATCTGTATCAACTATATGAGCTTCAAGATGCCTGCCTAGATTTTAAGTCACCCGAAAAGCCGCAACCTTCAGAATGTTTATTTTCATTTTTTTGTGTTTTCTGATCTGGAAACGTATCATTGGTTTAAAGGTGACATTAGAGTTGATGATGCGCCACATCTACTTTTTCTCCGACAACACAACTGGATCGCAAACAGACTTCATGAAATGAATCCTCAATGGGATGACGATACACTTTTCTTTGAAGGTCGTAAAATTTAACATTGACATTTTCCAGCATATAACATTTAATGAGTATCTACCACAGATTTTAGGAACTACATTGGTTGCTAGCAGCAACCTTATTATAAAACCCGTATATTTGGATCAGTACGACGATAAAATAAATCATTCCATTAAAAATGAGTTCCTTATTGTCATTTTAAGGTATTGAATTGTTTAGCTCTTCAAAGTTTGTATATATTTTAAAATATTTTAGCCTCGATCATCTCTGAAGAGATATTAATGGTCGAATCCTGTGCAGCAACATTGCTATCGTTTACAAATATGTTCTTACTACCATTGGATCGATAACTCTGCTGGTAGACTACTAGTTCTTGAGTGTATCACCAGCCCAAGTACTGGCAGGAAAATACGAGTATTGCGTTATTGAAATATGCTGTTATCAAATTTTTAATTTTTTTTAAAAAAAGTGTATTTCCCTCATGCATAACTCTAATTCCTTGTTCTGGTGTTATCTTCACTTTTTGTCCCTTTCAGTTTTATCAGCTATTCAACTTTTGTATTAAGTTTTTGATTTTCAAATGTTTTGGCCTTGAGAACCATTGAAGTGACATTAAATGTCGAAATGCGCGTCTGGTGCAGTAAAATTGGTACAGTGCCTATAAAGAATTGATGGTATGTAGATACATATCTGAATTTGTTACATTGTACGATAAGGTATAGAACCAATAATTCGGGCCCGGTCAGAAAGAACATCCTTTATTTATTGGGTTTCTTAATGTATCATTTCTAAGGAAATTGATATATACTAATATAGGAATTCCGAAATCTCACTTGAAATATAATTTTCTACCAGTTTAGCAAGATGTCTAGCTGGGAGATACATAAATTGCTCTAGTTGATCCAAGTTTTTACAGAAAAGTATGTTTTTTTACCAAAATACACTCCTTTTCCATCATGTAGAAAAAAGAGGGGGACAAAACTGTCAATTAAATTTAATGTTTGGACTACTATCTTAATATCCAATGAACAATCTTTTATAAAATTAAGACATATAGGTAAGAACATTATTTGTTATTTGAGTGGATATTAGCAAATTAGAACTAATAATAATTGAAAAAGTCACAAATTGGTCACTATTATTAGCTATGTGGAGTTTTCTTTGTATTACGCATATGTTACTACCAGTCCAATTTGATATAGTTATTCAACAAAAGCTTTATGTGTTTTTCTATGCTAGAAATGGATCATAGAAAGAAATTAAGAAAAGCAGAAGTCAATATAACAAGTTTGGTGCTGTTAAAGGTATAGAACCACTAATTCGGGTCCAGCCAGAAAGAACATACTTTTTCCACAAAATAGTTCCTACGCATAGCTGTAACTTTGTCAAAAAGTAAAATATTTGGATAGTTTTGGTATCAAATGAAAGCTGGAGGACTTGGGATCACTGTAGAACCCTTGTTGGCAGTTTCTTATGGGTAATAAAATTATAATAGGAGGGCACATTTGGCCTTTTTTTCAGATAAGAAGTACCTGTATTTGTACTACCTTACTTCCGGGAACCAGTGCGCTTTTATATGCAATTAGAGGTATGTTAAATTTTTTAGCACAAGTCAGGATAAGGTATAGTTTTGACATGAAAGGACTGCCACTTTATTTGAACTTAAGACAAAGTAGCCATTAATGCTTGAAATTGCAGCATTTAGCATAGAAAGCAATGGGGCTATGAATTAGTACATTAGATATTGACCCCGTTACCGATTTATCCAATGAGATGGCGACTCCGCAAGTCATTGTTGCACTTGACTCACAGTGGTGGTCTAGCACACATTTATTTGTATCAAGCAGATGCGGAACAAAGATTTTGAAAAGGGGGAAACAAACTAAGCAACCATTAAGAGTGGAACATGTAAAGAGTCCATTCTTATTCCGCCCTGACGAGGATATTAAGCATTATTCTAATGATTGTAAGTTTTGTTTTATTGTTAATTTTCAACATATGTGGTTTTATTCCACAAAGAAAGGTTGACATGATGACAAATATATCTTTTGTATTAAAAAAATACCCGACAAAAACGTTTAAAAGCATAGGTTTGGATGTGCATTAATTGAAGGAAATTCCATTAAAAGAACAATGAATTCATCATGAAATTAAATAAAGCTAAATTGTTGATTGAAAAAAAAAAACCACGAATACATCATTATATATCATTCATTATTATCAAAAACGAACAAAAACTACAAAGCGAACTTCCTCATCGTCATCAAAATCTCTCGTCGTCGTCGTCATTATTAGGTCTTTCCACTTTTCTGTGGAGAGACCTATTGTATTTGTTCTGATTATTATTATTAAGTCTTTCCACTTTTCTGTGGAAAGACCTATTGTATTTGTTCTGATTATTATTATTATTATTATTATTATTTTTTTCTTCCGCCTAATTTTGTTCTCACGTAAAATTTTTGTTTCGCAAGATGTCGCTTAGATATTTCTTATTTAATATCATACAGTTTATGCGCTTTTTATTTTCACCCATTCTAAGCCGAACAATTTTCTTTGTAGGAGTTATCTCCCTGAACACTGTTTTCCTTGTTACTGCATCTCCTCCGTAACCGTAAAAGAAAGCGACAAATTTATTTTACCAAATTGCTCGTTATATCCTCAGGATGTTTTGTCCAATTTTGACCGAGGCGGTACGTAAACTCCATATGAGAGTTATTTCCCCTTCTGTATTTAACATAAAGATATATAAATGTATAGCATGAATGGTAAGTGATAGAGACCTAAGGTATATTGATTTGAGTTCCTTGGTTCATTTAAATGAAATTGAGGCCAAGGTCAAAGGTCAAGGTCATATTCTAAATTTTGACTTTTCCTTGTTATTTGATCTCCTCTGTCACTTTTAAAGATACAAATTAAAGAACAAGTGCAAAATGTTTGCCTAATTGTGATTAAGATATGATACATTTGGTCTGAAACAATCCAATGACATCTTATAGGAGTTATTGTCCCTGAAATGATTCAATTTAAGGTTAATTGATTATTACTCCAACTTGTTACATGATAAAGCCATAGTGTCTTTTGCAAACTGTTGGTTGACCTATGACCTTGAAAAATGTCAATCGGAAGTGACCTTGAGTGAACCGGAAGTAGTATTTTTTGCACTTATTTCATGGAAAAGTACCTAGAAACCATATATTTTTTGAATGACCATAGGTTAACCTATCTTTTGAGACCGG